AGTAGCAGATTTGGGTATGTAATGAATTAAATGACTTTTATGGGGTACTTTACTACCTCTAACTCCTAAGCAGACTGCATTCCCCTCACTTTTTCCTGTTTATGGTCATAAAGACTTTGCGAGGCAAGGGAGAGGTGGAAGGGGATGGGGGCATAGACCACACCTGAAAAATTCTTTTTAAAATGAAGACTTGGTTGAGCAAATGTCCTATGAAGAGAGAATTTTTTTTTCCAACTTTGAACACTATCACATTCCAACTTCGAAGCAGAGAAAAATAAATCACAATCCATTTTAGTACATGTACAATCATGTAATATTTTTGAGGAAAAAGGGGTTATTTTATATTGAAGCCTTTTCTTGTGAAGGAAAATGAGAAATATAGGTACATCCTTTGTCAATAGATCTAATCAATGATAATATTAATACTATAAATAATAATGACGATAATTATTATAATAATCTTCACATAACTGTTACATTTACCATTAGTATTTGTACATTCTCAGTATCCTTATTGCTTTAATTCATTATTTTTTGTTGCTGAACAGAGGTGAAACTCTCTGAGTTGTCAGAAGTTGTTGGCAATTATGAAAAGCTCAGACTACAAGACCAGCAAGCTATACAGAAACTGAAAGATCGCTTGCAGAAACTAGATTCAGAAAATGCCACGTTATCAAGACAGCTTAGTATAGATGAGAATCAGATGCCAGACAATGAAAAGGAACTGAGAGAAAACGAAACACCAGAGGACTTGAAAAAGCAAGTTTTTAAGTTGAAAGGATTACTCAAGATTGCTCTTAATTCTTCTGATACACCAGTGAATTTAGGTAAGTAATATTTCTAGACAAGAGCACAAAATTAAGCACAGATTTGATACTTGAAGCGTGAATTTTACAGTAAGGCTAGGTGAGGTGAGATCTGAGGTTTTCTCTTTTAAATTCGTGACGCGTGAATACTACACGTGAAGCGTGAATTTTTCTAAAATTCGTGCGTGAAACGGGATCAGGGCCTCTTCTCTTTGCCACGCTCTACAATGTTTAACCCTTACTAAGGTACTCAGTTGATAACTGAGTTCCATGTTAAACAGGGGAAAAATGAAGGTATGATTTTGACCCACTTTTGAATTTGCTTTTGAATTTTTTCTCTTGCTTTGTCTTTCCATTTAACGATTTCTGAAAACGTTTTTGAATATTCTGTTGCCTAGTGTGTGAGGCTTTCCCAAAGGAGATGCCTAATGTTTAACCTTTTAAACCCTAAGAGTGACGAACATCTAATTTCTCCTCACTGAAATACTTCTGAATCATTCATTAACATCATGAGAATAGTGGAAATGGTCGCCAACTAAAGAAAATCTTGATTGAACGAATTCTCCTCGTCATTGCCAAAGAAAATTTAGAGAGAAGAGTTTGGAAAATATGAATACTGTTTTAGGGTTTAAAGGGTTTCTGGGTAAGCAATGTTGTCAACTCTCAGATTCTTTCAATTCGATGGATTGGTAAGGAGTGGGTAAACATCATTTTGATATTTTGTTTTTTTCTCTTCTCTTCTCAAAATTAGAGGAGCTAAGCAAGTCAGAGTTAGAGTCCTTCTTTGCCAACGACCCGTCTCACAAGGTTTGTGAACAAGAGCTGCGCCAACTGAAAGAAGAGTTTGAACGGTATAAAGTAAAAACACAAGCCTTACACAAGAACAAATCTTTTAAAGAACTAAGTGAACAGTTGGAAAATTTGGAAGCATTAAAGAAACGTAACAGGGATTTAGAACAGCAAACTGAAGAGTTAAAAGATCTGGGCCTTGAAAAGGAACGGGATCATAAAAAAGTGATCTCCAACCTACGAGATCAAGTCAAATTGCTGGAAGAGAAACACAAACGTGAACAAGAAGAAACAAGTACTGTTTACAAACAAAGACTTGAGGAACTGGAAAGACAGGTTTTAAATCAAAGGGAAAGAACTCTTGCGCTAGTGGCAGAAAAAGATTCAGAGATTGAGACGCTGAGAACCCGTAGTCCTTCAAGTAGTCCTTCAGTAGAGAATGTGGGTAAAACAAGGCAAGTGTTTTCTTACCCGAGAAAGTTTGTGGAGGTGAGCAGTGGGTCCCAGGCCACTTTGGACTCTCCCCAGTCTTCCGATGCGGATGTAGCTGTTCATCAACTTTTATCCAAGCCTTCTGGGGTACGTGTGTTTAACTCATCCGCAAAATTAGTTTAGTTGAGCAAGGAATTATTAAAATCTAGAACATTTCAAAAGTAATGACCATTCGAGTTCTGTGATAACACACGATATTTCTTTATTTTCCTTTCTGTTACGTTTCCCAATAAACTGATGAACTGAATAGAACGTGATTTTTAGGTTAGCAACAGTGAAAGCACATTAGTACATTACGCTCAACAACAAGCCAGAAGGGATGCAGAAAGCGTTGCGATACGACGTCAGAAGAACGAGTTGGAGGCGTCCCTGAGAGATGCTGAACTAAGGTTGGTGTAAATTTTTAGGTCGCAAGTCGAGATTAGTCATGCATTTGCAGTAAGTTACTAAGTCAGTTGGGCTTTTACTGCACTGAACCCTTTGCCATAGGATTATTTTATTCCTCTTTCCTGCCAGGTAGCCCCATTGATAATATTATGTGTACTTTTTTTTTTCAATGGTGGTACGTGTGTTAAATCTCTTGAAGAGCACGATATTTTTCTTAAGAATGACTTCATGTCATGCATTCTCCTATTGGCTTGTGTGTTTCTGAACAAACTGTAGAGCGAATGCAAGCAAACTAACTACATGACAGCATATCCCGAAACATCCTGTTTATGTAAGCGTTTCTAAGCAACATTGATTGTTTTCTTTTGAAAGAGGTGAAAAGCTGATTGATCAAACCAACGTTCTTAAGGAAGAAATCAGAAAACTGGAAAGAGATAGGTAAGTTTTGTCCTTTCTTAGTGGATCGTTAATGTAAAACCTAGATTGATGTAGTGTGCAAACATTCCCAGTATTTCCAAAAGGTAATAGTAAAAGGAGACACAAAAACTGGGAAGGAAGTAATAAACCTTTTTACGACAAAATAATCGTAACTTGGATAACAGAGAGATGTGCATCTATTAATTGCTTTATTCTCACAGTGTCGTTCTACCGAGAGGGGATGGGTGGGTGATCTGCAATGAACTTGCAAACATCCTTGAAAGGGATTTTTACTCACTTTGTAAACCTGCGGGGCGTTCATTCACTTTTTACCAAAACATGCAACTAACGTGCTGGGCAGATGCAGCGTTATTTCCAGGAAACTTTACGTCAAGGGTGCGATATCCGCTTAACAAGTTGAATTACGAACTGCTACTAAATAAAGGCTCGTTTGCTTTATTTTTCAGATCTCGCGAGAGTGCCAACTTGGAATACCTTAAGAATATCGTGCTTAGGTTTATGATGAGCACCAGTTACTCTGTCAAACAGCAGATGATCACTGCCATAGCAACCGTTTTGGAATTCAGTCCCAAAGAGGTATTTCCACATCTTTCCCTTGGAAAAATATAACAACAATAGGAATGTGTAGAGCATCGTCTCGTTTTGATTTTTTTTCCTTTTTTTTATTTAAACAAGAAAGCACGTAGCAATTTGTTCCGTTTAACGCGCAGAACAAGTCATTTTTTTGGGTTTTCTTTTTTGTTCTATTTATTTATTTATTTATTTTTTGGGAGGGGGGGGTGTGCATTCAGCTAACTAGAGGGAAGCTACTCCTCCCGCTTATGGTTCGTTCCGTACTTTCGCGCTCGCCTCGCGCGGCGAACGAAGCTAGGAGAGAGGGCTTACTTGTCGTCTATCTGCACGGTAGCCGTACTCACCACTGACTCAGGTCCATTGTGGGGTACCTTGCTCTCAAAGCGTTGGTAAAATTAGGAGGGCCTCTTGTGCATTGAATACAAGATCGTCATTTGCTGCCCGTGTCCCTCTTCTCTTTACCTTTTATGTTTGTGCGATTTTTTTTTTTTTTTGAGACAGAATTGATATTTTGTCGTCTCATTTAAGTTGAGGGTAGTTTTGCACAGCGCCAAAAGTGACTCAGAATATTATGACTGTTTCGTTAATGTGTGATTTTTGTTTGTTTGTTTGTTTGTTCTACCTTACGGCAGCTGAGTCAAGTGAGAAAAGTCCAGTCAGCTTCGTGGTGGCCCGGAACATAAAGTGGCGGCCAACCTCATCGGTAACCGCCCTGCTTGGGGAGGAATTAAAATTTCAAAAATGATCCTAGTAATTTAGTCTCGCACCCAGACCTTCCACGGCTAAGCGGTAGGATTTGGGTACGCGATTACTAGTACGTAACTTTCTTTAAAGAGTATTTTATTACAGGGGTGGGGAGGGGAACAATTATTTTTCAGGAAGTCAAATATATAATATATATTCATGTTTTCCATTTGTACGTTAAACGATAATCAATCGGTTACAAACATACTCCCTTTGAGTGAAACTCTCCTAAGTTGTGATAAATCGATTCGGAATTCATCGTCCTGCTCACTGGAATTACTAGATGCATTAGTCAGCCCGAGTTACTGAGGTCTTTACTGTATGGGAAACGGTTTCGTGCTGTCATCTGCAAAGAACACAGATGCGCCCAGGTGTTCCCAAGTTTTAACTCGCATATCGACCCGTTGATTTCACGCGTTAGTTGTTGTCGTTGTCTTGTCAAGTTCTACCTTTACGGTAGACTGCGAGCAGTCGCCCCTTTTCGGCGAAGACTATCGTGCGAGTGAAAAAGAAAAAATGATTGATGTCAGCAAAGCGCACTCCTAGAAATCCGCGCAGTGCACTAACGCCACTTTTATTTTTTTTTCCTCGCTTATTTTCTTGACTCGCGCGACGGACCTCGCCGAAAAGAAGGGAAGTGCTTGTAGTGTAGTTATATGACATTTCACGAGAAAACCACACACGTAAATTTTTTAAATACCGTTTAAATAATTGTATCACTAGGCAGTGGGGATGGTTGGGATGTGAATAACAAATAAATCCAGAATTCAATTAACGTTCCGTTTGTTATTTAATGCTACCCAGACTATATATCAACTATACATACATATTCTTTTCGTCCAATACTGCAGGGTGCCTCCTTTGCATTTTGTGGCCCTTCTTTGTATTTTTTTTTTAATCTCACAATTTTCATGTTATGTTGACAAAATGTTTCGTTTAAAGTAAAAGTCATAAAACTCATTTTTTATTAACACGCGTTGTTTATATAAAAAGGTAAACCTTAGTCTATTGTCCCAGGAGTGAGTTATCCTGGCAGAAGAAATTTGTGTTATAGGTAGCGAAAAGATTTGGAACCGAGATCTTCTCATAGATCAAAACGGATTCGTATCTTACCCACCCAACGGAGGTAAAGGTTTTTTATCTGAAATCAAAATTCTTACAACCAAAGACACAAAGCATGTGATCGATTTGTTCTAGAACCTGACCAGAAAGTAAAATAAGTGACGTTAATTACTCGCCTTGTGGCTCGACAATTTGTAGATTTGTTCCAGATTCTGGGATTTTTGAAGGCTCCAAGTGAAGATAATATTAATCGTGGTTTTTCAGACTCTTTCCCTTTTTCTGTATTTTTGTGGGCTTGTTTGATTTGTTTGATTTTTTTATTTGCTCATATAAAGCCCCAGTAAAACTGGTTTGATTCTAAAAATTCTCTGAGACATTAGCTATGCGCCCGCACACCGAAAGATCAGAGGCAACGACCAATCACCGCGCTCTAATTTCAGTTCGTTTTATATATATCTAAATGGTTCATAAATAAATGCATTTGGGAATTAATATCAATTCAATCCTAGTCAGAACCACTAAGCAAGGGATTTTTTCTTGAAGGTACTGGCAAACCATATTTGGCGCGGATTGACTGCCTTAGCCTCACGCTCCTCTTCCTCTCCATCTTTTCATCTTCTTTGCTTGGAAGTCTGTAATTTCTCTTAAAGGCGCTCTTTGCTCGGCGTTCACTTTTCGTCCGTCGGAATCCATCAGGCTCGTGCCGGCCGGCTGTTGAAACGTCTTCGAGGCTGTTGGATTTAAGAATTGTAGGGAAGGGCTTGGAGTCTCTCTCATCAGGCTGGAAACTATGGGAAAGCAAACTTCAATAATTAGGCGGGTTTCTCAAAAGATGACTGAACAAATCATATTATCCAATGCAAGCCTCGTTTTTCAAAGTCTTCCGGATTAATTGCTGAACGGAGTATGCAAACCTAGCCTTTGAAACAGGCATCATTGTCATATACTTGCGTGTTATCATATAAGCGGCAAATTCGAGGGAAACGCGTAACTCGCCCCCCTCGCACTCCCTAATTCACGCTCTCCTCACGCTCGCCCTTTGCGATGTCCTCCCACTCGTCCCTCACGCTCTCCTCGCGCTTTCCTCGCGTTCGCCTTTGTCAATACACACGAAAAACGCGAAAAATAAGTGACTGTAAATCGAATACAAGGGTGCCCATGATTCCACCAAACGCCCTCTTAAGATAAAGGTGCATTTCTTTGAAGAGAGGGAGACTCAACATTACTGGTGTTGCACCATTTTTGTTCAATTTATACTAAAACGGCAAGTACTGTAAAGGCCCGTTTATACGGTTTCAACATTTGACCAACATTCAACATTTTCGAGAACAAAGGAAAAGTTGAATCGATGTTGAATGAAAGTTTAAACCGAATTAAACGTGATTCAATACGCTTTCAACAAGCTTTCAACATTTTTTACGTTTTCAACAATGTTGGACGACCTGTTCAAACGCACCGAACATTTGGTTCAACAAAGTGTTGAATACATGTTGAAGCAAATGTTGAAACCGTTAACACGGACCTTAATATGCCATAGAAATCGCAAAGATGTTGTTACGCTTGGCAACATTTTGCGAGTTTCTGGAATTCACCCATCTGTGACGTTCCACGAAAAGTTGCAGCAACTTTACGCAAAAGTTGTCGTTGCAGATTGTTATGTAGTTCTGATGCAGTTTCCAAGTGTTTCCTTTTGTTGAAAACGACAGTCAAATTATTTCGAGCAGTCTTTAAAATCCCTTTTCAAATGGCGGAAGTGACTGATATTATTTATGATAATGTTCCAGGAGTCCATTGGGCTCCTGCATGTTATGAATTATAGATAACCATGTTATCAAAATAAAAATTAAATGAAACTTGAGATAAACTTACAAAGCAAGACTTGCTGGTGGAGGAAGTGTTGCGGCACCCTTTTCACATTTTTTATTTTTCTTTTTCAATTTTTTCTTTAACTTTTCGTTTGGCTCTGATCCTATGAATTGATCCTTGTAAAACCATCCTTTAATGCTTAAAGAAAACAAAATATTGGATTCAGCTACACACAGAAGGAATGTGCATTACTAAGACGGTATAAACTGAAAAGCAACCAACAAGTAAAAAGAACCTTGGAAGTAATTTTTACGTGACGCTGCCGTGCACCCCTCGACGAAGATTGTGTGACAGGCCGTCTAGCGTCAACTAAGATAATCAAAATGGATTAAGAAATATTGAGTTTCCTTATTGAAAGGCATAAGACTGATTAGTGTGACTAATTTAATTAACCGTCTCAATAATCACTCGCAAGATTTCTTGGAGAGAAGAACATTTTTGTACTTCCCATTCACTCTCCAGTTGAGTAAAGGTACGAAATAAATTCCTAATCTCAGTAGTGACTGCTCTTCTAACACACTCTTGAGAACGAGAAAATACGTTTAGAGTGTTTTGTTCTACGACTTTAACTTTCGTGAAATCTATTATTAACGAATTTCAGAATTATTCTTTTCACCAAAATTAAAATATTTATCTGCCTGATTAGCAATGACAATTGCAATGAGACCGTGGGTAATCCTGTAATTTACAGTCATTTTGCTTGATTTCAAGCCAGCTTAAAGATCTCAAAAAGCAACAAGCACACTACAAATTTTAAATTTACATTCAGTGACATTCGTTTGAAAAGGACCATGATCTTTATAACTTTGAGAATTGGAGTTTTCGTGTTTTTAAGTTCCGAGTTTCCGGCGAAAGCCCGTCATCATCATATCTGACTAGTCGGGCACATTTTGCGAATTTCTCGATGGTATAGCGTATCTTCGGCAGATGATATTACCAAGAAGGAAAATACTGCAATTTATTGTTTTTACAAGTTTCGACGTTAGATCTCTTCGAGAGGCCATAGATTAAACAACAGCATATTACACCGCAACGCAATTCTTCAAAGAGCAGTGTATTGTTCTTTAAGGACAATGAAGCGTTCGAAACAGTACTACCGGAAGTAAAGATAAAGCCGGGCAAAAATTTAACGCAAAAGACTTTTCTTGCGAAGTTTCCGTCGCCCAGAAAATTTATCATACCTTTTACCATTTGCATATGTATACATTCCATAGCCATGCTTCTTGCCCTTCTTCCAATCTCCATCGTAAATATCCCCATTAGCGAAGAAATACGCTCCTTCACCTTTCCGTTCGCCGAATTCATCGTGGCGTCCTGAAAACTTTTCTACATCCACAAAATCATCCTCGATTATCTTGTCTTTTCTGTCTTTATCAGGTTTACCACCCATGTTACTCAATAGTCGGCGAGAAATTGAAAAAGCAGCAACAAATTAGGTCGTCGAGAGGTTCCCGAAGATCGATAGAGTTTCGACTGAGTATATTTTGACTCAGTGACGTCACTAACACAAACAGTCTCTTGTCATGGAATACCCGCGTAACTTGTTTATCAATTGAAGGCTGTCAAGAACAGTTGTCATCGCGAGATAACAAATTTTACAGTTTATTGGTGGCACATACAGGTTTTCAACATTCGTTTTTCGAAGAGTCATGAATTTTGGGTATGAAATTGTTTTCACATCGAGGAAAGGTTACTAGTTATTTGATCCGCATGATATCCTGGTGAAACAACTGAATCATCTCTCTGACACCGGAAACAATTAGGTAAGTAATTTATTGCGTCTTAAAGGCTACAAATCAAAATTAGCGCTTGTTAATTTCTACCTTACATTTTGTTGATTAACGCCTGTAGTTTCAATTAACTTTTTAAACAAAACAAAATGTCGAACAGAACAAAGTAATAGAACAATCGCGATCTGTCAAAATTCTTGCTCTTACGCATTATGCAAATTACATTGCATCACGTCGCGTCTCGTCGCGTCTCGTCCGTCTCCCAAATTTGGAGAGATCAAATAATATTACATCAAACGAGTTTCAGATCTCCTTAGTTGGGCAATAATTCATTTGAAAATTTGGATTTGCCTGACAGTTCTGATTACGGTTTTGGCCCGTAGTAAGCATCCATTTTTCTCCTCATTTTCAAGTTGTACTTATGTCTCTCTTTTGCAGGTAGAGGTGCTGATACTTCACGTCATTACCTTGTGACGCATGCCAGTTTTTTTTTTCGGAGGGGAATAGAGGTGGGGAGGGGAGGTAATGGCTCACATAGATTCATCAACAATGGTATCCCTAGTTTCTTGAAGCTGTACATGTGACAAAAATTATTGATAATACTGCATTGCAATTATTTCCCTGTCTCGTCTTATCATTTAAGTCTGCATAGCGTTTAGTCAAGGTAACTGACACTGAATGTACATAATGGGATTAACTGAATAAATTTAATTAAAATTAAGATTGTGAGTTGTTGGATGTCAGGTGTTATAATTGATTGAAAGGTGACAATGAATATACCAATGACTTAGTATACCAAAAGTAAAGTAATAGGAAATTCATGTAAGGAATTAATTTGATCCAGTCATTCATGAAACAGGAGAATTGCAAGAAACTATTGTGTTATAAATTATTTTTTTTCATGAGCTATTGAAACAAATCTGGAAACTTGATTAAACCTGTTTTAGTAGATTTGAACCAACTATTCATAGGGAAATAATTTAGCATAGTGAGGAAATCCGGTCAGTTCCTTTTTTATGCATAATAGTGGTCCTGTTCCACACAAGTATTTTTTTGTAATCATAAGTTATTTATCATTGCAAAAATGTATTCAACATGGAAAAAATTGGCAAGAGGATTATTTTGTAAATGCAATTTTATTGTGAAAAGTTAGTTACAATTCTTCACAAATGAATTTTAAAGTGACACCTAAAATGAGTAAAATGTTGCAACAAAATGAATAAAAACATTGGGCACATGTTTAGATTAGTGTTGAAGAGTAACAAACCTTGTGAAAAGTTACTCTTAAGGGAGGGTCTATGAAACTTTTGTGACGAAAAGCTAAAGTAAAGAGATGGACTCCAAAAGGCAAATCCCTACAAGTACCGGTACATAAAAAGTAAGTAAAAAAATTCTTTGGCAGGTGACACATTTACTTTCAATAATATTTTATAACCAATACAGGGGTTGTTATTACCTTGTTGTGATTAAAATCACTAATGATTTTTAATTATTACATTTATTGTCTTGAGATTTGAGTAATATTACCAGGATACATTGATAACAAAGGAAAAAAAGCATAAACAAAGTATTTATTAACAATATATTAAACATTTTTTAAGGTATCCATCAATAAATTTTCACAAAAAATGTAAATTTTAATATTTTTAGAGATGCAATGCAATATGTCAAAATCTTTTATAAATTTATTTTTTTCTCAATATGATATTCAAAGGATCTTTAGAACTGTTCTTCTGTGAGGTCTCATTTTACTGTACATTCTTTAAGAAAGATTGCTGCTATTTTAGTTAGGTTGTGTATACTTGCAGCAAAAACCTGTTCTTGCTCTTCTGGGGTAGTAACATCTAGAAATAAAAAACAGAGTCAATTATTGCTAAGTATGATTAATTTTCTTATTGTACTCTGTAATTGTTGTTTAATTGGGTTTCTTTACTTTGTGCAGACTGAAAATATCTTTTCCTTAGCTTCAGAATTTCCTATATTAATTTCCTATATTAATTTCCATGATTACTTTTCTTCTAAACTTTTGGTTTTCAAGACCCCTTATAAGACTCATTAAGTTATCAGGCATGATTATTTTCCTTGCACTGCCTCAGGCTCCCAGAGGGAGGGGCAATCAAAAAGAGGTGGAATAAAGTGAGCAAACAGATCAATATGGGGAGTCCTACAGAAAAAAAAAATTCACAACTAAACTTATTTTTTCCTATATCCACCCTCTAAGTTTTTTCCTGTTCCTCTTTGTTTCCCTGTAATCTACATTATCTCAATTATTTAAGAGTGAAACTGGAGTAAATGATCAAAATCAACTTTTTTACTTAACATTTTTCAATGAATGTACTTGGTTTTGTTTTGTTTTTTTTTTAACTTTTTGAGGTAACAATTTATTTCCAATAAATGAACTTGTTTTTGTTTGTTTGTTTGTTTGTTTGAGGGAAGTTGTTTTAAGATTATATTGAAAATGAACATTTGAATGTAATAGTTGTTGTATTAAGTACCTAGGTCTTCTTGGAGTCCCTCTCCAAGGCTTAGTATGTTCTCTTCCCATACATTGAACAAGGATGATGTCAAGGCAGCTTGATCTTTGCTGCTTGGCATGACAGCCAGAACTTGTCTCATGGTGTTTGAAAAGCACTGAATACCATTCCCTTTGCCATACATCATGTCATCTTGTCCTAAAACCTGTGATATTTAGAATACAAGAAATACAGAGTACTGTAGTCCAAGTTTGCAAACAACATCCATACAACAAACCTATTTAAACGTGTTACAGAATCACTTCTTTGACTAAATACCATGGAAACATTACCTGACCAAGGTAGTAACCTAAGTATGATAATTCATGGACTCTCCCATTCATAGCTTTATTTCCTAGCACTTCAAAGCAAACTGATTCTCCACACAGTTTTAGCAGCTTGGCGATATTTTCCAAGCACCAGTCAGACGGCGTACCTGAAGTTAAAGAAAACAGAAAGGGGCATTAATTTGTTTAAAGAAAGGCAGCTTCAACGCAACGCTATGCGATTGAATTCATTTTTATACTACTGCTCAGTCCAAAGGCTTTAACGCGGTGAGATATCAAATTCGATTGACGGTTATCCCAAAGAGAAAAAAAACGGAAAGTAGATGTTGATCAATTGGTGTGAGGCGTACCTCAAAGGTTACACTAAATCAAGCCGCGCCTATAGCATATGTTTCAAATTCCATTCACTTACAGACATGTACTGTACTGTTAAAAGCAAATACCGGTTAATTCCTCGAACACGCTGATAAAATCATCTTCGTTCCAGTCCTTGCTGTCACAATACACATGTAAGATCTTGAGGGCGTCTGCAAGGTCCATTAGTTCGGCGTCTTCAACGCCAAAATAAGTTGGACAACTTTGTAACACATTCCAGGCGACAGTTCCTGCAAATTATAAGTCCACATGTTAAAACCAGGTAAGACAAAGTATGGTTGTCGTTATGGTTCCTGCAAATTATAAGTCCACATGTTAAAACCAGGTAAGACAAAGTATGGTTGTCGTAGGAAAATTTCATGCGTTTGGTAAAATCATAAGCGACGGAACAATAGGTAGGCCCTGAGGAGCCAATTTTTAGTCAGAGATTTTTGGATCGTCATCAGTGAATATTAAGACAGTTTGATAAATACTTACCGTTTTCATCATTGACGGGTCCGTATAGAATGTAAATTAGTCGGGCTTGGAAAACAAGGGGCCATGGTTTTAGTATTTTGCAAAGCCAGAATCCTCTCTCAGTGTGATCGCTAGCCTTGTCCAAGAATATCTCTCGACAGAATACTCTTATGTATCTCTCGTACCATGGTTGTGATCCTGGCTGGGAGCGAAGCACCTGCCTAATTCTGTCATCCAAACATGAGGCACCTTTAAAAGATTATGAAGTCAAATAAAATGCAGGTGTGTGCGTGAGAAGAGGAACGCCCAGGTGCTGCACTGCCTTGGACTCTACATCCAGCAGTACAGGCACGAGCCCTGGGTTCTATGTTAACAAAATTCAAACAGAGCCGGGAGGAGTGACCTAGAGGGAGGAGGCAGGAAATTATGCTTTTGGACACTGACGCTTTGGAACTCACCGTGGGTGCTTGTTACAGTTTGATAAACGTTAACGAAGAATGCAAATTTTCTAAAGCAAGTAATCTAAGCGTTGGCTCGCTTGAGCATAAAACGAAGTGAATATCTTCACTTCAAAGTTATTCATTTTTTATCCTCGATAACTAGGAACCCAACGTTTTCAGATACCTTATCCGGTTTTTGCCAACCCCATCTAATCCACCAAAGCTAAACAGTAGTCAGTTAGTCTCCTGTTTACCGGAACAGTTCAACGGAATTTTAAGTCGGTTCGTCTGTCTGTGTCTTTCTTTTTTAAGCCGGTTTATACCTTTGATAGCAAGATAGGCTTTAAACTTCTCATCATCCTCCCATCCTGCAACAAAGGAGTGAAGAAACTTTCCGTAACAGCTGTAGGCGGTATCACTTCCAAGGGTGGTGCAGATCTTTGAGTGTGTGTCTTTGAGCTGCAGACGGTCAAATAAGTTTGGGTGTTATTGTAAATGTCCTTACATGATTTCATGATATCGGAATCGCAAAATTTGTCGTAGAGAACTGAGTTGTTAAACGCACGATGACTTAGAGAGGGAAATCTCATTAGAGAGGAAAATCTCCGGGAAATCTCATATCAAGCTCATGTATCCTGCTTACTTTCCCTCGGTCAGTGAACCACCAGATATCAGAATACCATGTGATTATTTGCCTAGCTCAAGTTTTTGTAAGGATTTCTGTCAGTATCACATTTTAACACTTGTTTAACTAGGCATGTCTAGAAAATAATGCTTAAATACACAGCCCATTAGAACTGGTTTAGAATTAAATGCTAGTCCTTGGATGATGGGACCTAAAGTCGGTTGCGATGAAACAGCGACATGAGAAAAGGGAAAGCAAGAATTATTGATCTTAACTGGATTCTATCATCATTTATGACGGGTAAGTTATAGGAACGCGGTATAACTTGATTTCATACCTTATCCAAAACTACTCCGACTTCCTTTAACCTCTCTTTAGTGGAGAAGAGGCAGGTTGCCCTTTTAAGTAATATCCCTGTAAAAAATATAATTTTACGGCTGAGTTAAAGTGATTAATTTTTTGGCAAATTACCACTGAGATTGCGAAAATCTGAAATAGCCTCCCAATTTTACTCCTAACACTCTCACTTTCCCCCCCTCTTCCCCGTACAATATTGCACTTTTTTTCTGATTGTACAACATTGAATGGTTGAAGGTGGGTACGGTAGCAAACTTTAGTAAATTTTTGTAATTTTATTTCCTAAAACTTCTTAAAAAGTCTTTGCGTGAATGTTATGCGTTAATTACGAGCGGATTGTACCCTGATATTCAATCGATCCGAAGTCATCCGCCTTACTTCCGTTGAGCGAGTGACTTTGGACTGTCTAAGAATCAGGCTATACTTGGGTCTGGATAAACCACTTTGTTTTGTTTAAATAAATTGTACTTCCCTTTTAGTTTAAAGAATGGCAGCGCATAATTTAAAAACGCTTGTATAATACATTTTAGAGAGGATGATAGTGGAATTATAGGCTATTCCAATACTGAAATATGATGCAGTTGTAAGTCTCACCAAGGTCTTTAAAGTGGTTCCAGCAGTACTCCGTTTTCGCGTTTATGAAAAGCTCGGAAGATTCCTGTTCATTCTTGAATTGGATATTTGGAACAATGGCGTGTAAAGCGTCTTTGCTGTGGATATAGTTCACAACCTCGTCCGTGAGAAGTCTCGATGTCAAGGAAAGTTGCCCGAGATCGGAAAGTGGAGTGAAGCCAAATATTCTAAAGCGCATTTCTCGGGGTAGTAAAGCAAACAGACCAAAAGGACTTCTTGTATGCATGGACTGCTTTTGGTTTATGTCATTTAATGCAGCTTTTGCCGACTTCAGTGCTCCATGCCTACTGAATTTGTTTTTCTTCACACTTCTCATGTAATGATACATTGTAACTGATCGAGACATGATCTTTCCGCGCAAAGAGATTTCTCTGCACCAAATGCTGGTAGCCTGAAAATAGACGTTGACGTTTCGAAAGATCAGAAGAAATGATTAGTGCAAAATAACATAGAATGAATTTCGTAAAAAGCGATTAAAAAAAACATAGCTTTAAGTTTTTAATGCGTACTGTGAAATGGCTTCCAAACTGAACCGAATTTTGAAATGACTTCCACTTGTTTGGCTAACCAGAAAAACCTTTGAAAACTTACTTAAATTCGTAAGAAATAAAAGAATTGACTTGATTACTTTCCTTTTATCGAGACTACTTACCTGAAAGAGTGCAGCCCGAAGCAAAGACGAAAGAGGTTGATCTAAAGGTGTCAGAAAACTTGTCTCCCATGTCTCCCTTTCCCTGTGGATATTACTACGCGCGAAGTTCGCGCGAAGTTATCAAAAAGCGCGCCTTTTTTGGTAACCGCGTCGCGCAACAGTGAAGGACTGGAGACAAGTAATTTCAGTCAATTTCAGTCAATAATTGCTCGGCTTTTCCCTCCATACTTCCGAACACTCGGCGAGAGTTCTCCGTGAATTCTGAACCAATCAGATTATGTGAGCCGGCGCCGAAGCAAAATTTTCGCTGAGTCTTCGCGGCTCTTTCCTCGATTACATTCGAGCACATAAAGGGAAGTTGGTGATTTCTTCGGTCTGTATTATATTAGAGCCATGATCAAGCTTTTCTCTTTGAAGCAACAAAAGAAGGAAGGAGAAGGTGCAAAGACAGGGACGAAGAGGGCTTCTGCGGCGCAACTAAGGATAACGAAAGGTGTGTTACGGTGTGGTTTTCTTGTAGAAGAAGCTTAGTCATTGTGCTGCCATTGCATCATGTATCTTATCCGTTTAATGGTACGTTTTGTGATCTGTTTTGTTATTGTATAAGTATATCCTTGAAGACTTAAGGAATGAACAGCGAGAAATAGCCCATTGTAATTCTTGCCGTATTAGCCATGCTCACTACTTGTTTCGTCCTGAAGTCAATCCTGACAGTTTTGAGTTTCTCCTAGAGTCTCTTCTGAAGTAATCTTTTTGTTATTTGTGCGAAAATAAAGCCTGATTTCTGGTACATTTTCACGTTTTCACCGTGTTGCCACATTGGCCTCCTAAACCGTAAATAGGATTCTGTATATTGTCCAATTTCGTCCTCAAAAACGCCGTCAACATGAAGGACATCCAGTGTGGAATTTGTTTTGTTTACAGGCCCAAGAGGTAGATACTCGTGAATTCACCGAAATCATTAAATTTCATGAGACATGGATAAGCTTGATTGATACGTCGGTCTCGAGTTACGATTAATTACCGCTACAATACCTCATTGTTCTTGTTCAGGGTTGGTTTTTAAAACATTGTTTGTATCTCAAGAGCTTGGTGGACAAATCGCTATCACTTTATCTCTGTCTATAGTGAAGTAGAGACTCAAAGTCCACTTTTAATTAAGGTGATAAGGGTTAGGGCTGTTGCAGGTCTGCTCTTTAAGATCTTTGTATCCCAGATGGACAGAAATTTAGATTTTTGTACAAGGAAATTTGATAATTTTTGAGGAACAGGTTGAAAGTGCCACAGAAATGCCTCCTTCAATAGTTTTTGGATCAAGTGAAGGAAGGAAGTTGTTATTAAATATGATGGAAACACATAGGTCTCAGGAATAATGCATGAAATGCAGAACTAAGTACCATTTTGGAATGCCCTGGTCAGGGTTACTGTGCAGTATTTTTGGCTTTGACATTTTCCTCTTGCAGTGCTGTGTTCTCTTTATGGGTATGTAGGCTACACATACCACAGGGACACCTTTTGAAATTCTAAAAGGTCATCATAAATCTGATCATAAATTCTGAAATTGAATACTGGGGTTTTTCTTCTCTCTGGGTGCTTAGTCTGGAAGTTGTTTAGTTTAATTTGTTTTATTGTCTCTCATAGAGGGAGGGTTTATCACTTACATGATATATTCAAGAAGTTTGTCAGACACTCCTTTTCAAATTTCCCAGAAGAACTACCAAGGCAATACCACTAATCTCTTCATATAACCAAAACAATATTTTTTTGCCACCTAAAGTTTGTATTGTTGTTGCAAGCAAAATGTGTTATATTTCAGATGTACGGGATCTTGAGCTACCAAAAACATGTCAGATAGAATTTCCTGATCCAGACGATCTTCTAAATTTCAAGCTCAATATTTCACCAGATGAGGTACTATAATCATTTAGAGACTATCCTAGTCTTTTACTAATATCTAAGTAGTTGCCTTAAACAGGCTTTGTAAGTCACAGTTCTTTGTTGTTGCAGTAAAAGCTTATTACCAGAATACATGAAGAAAATGTTTGTTGAAGTAGTGTGTAAATGTTTCTTTTTAAAATTTGTTCAAACATTTGTACTCCCTTACAAAACTTTTCATCAGACATGTGCAATTTTTAGTCAGACATTGTTCTGTGACTGACTTGCCCATGGATGATGCACCACAATTTCTTAAGAAACCAATAACTTTGTTCATTTGCTTCAAAAAATTTAAGCCCCAGCATTCAAACTGATTTCTCATTTTTCTTAAGTCATCATAAGTTTCAATGATAATAACCAATATAAGTTTTTTGATGTGGGATATTGATCAAATGAAGCCTTTAAGTGCTACTGTGGTTCTTTCTTTATTCACTCCGAGCTTTCGCCGTTCTACGGTATCATCATCATCATCATCCCTGATGATGCCATAGAACGGCGAAAGCTCGGTGTGAATAAAGAAAGAACCACAGTAGCACTTAAAGGCTTCATTTGATCAATATCCCACATTATTATGACATGCTACTAAAGGACACGTTCAAACGTTTAGTTAAGTTTTTTGAATTTAGTGCTGCTTTTAATTTAATTTTTAACTTCCAGGGATTTTACAGAAATGGAAGATTTATCTTTAGTTTTAAGGTGAGTTACTCCCTTTATAAGATCTTAGAAAGACAGAGGAAACTATCTTGAAAACTTGTAGTGGTGACAACGTGCATTAGGTAGTTGAAAATGCATTCAGCCAGCTCTCAGGGACTCATTGCTGTCTTTTGAAATTTTTAGCAGCTCATTTGAAGTTCTTTTACTGTCATTTTCATTTTGTTGTAATTTGACACGTCTTTCGACTTTAAATCCTAAAGATACATTTGCTAGATTTTGAAGCCACTGAACCCTTTCTGGGATCCCACAGTGACCATGCATCATATTGGTTAGTAAGTCTCAACATTTTCCATGAATGTTGATGACTTGCCCCTTCACATCTAATTATCCCTTTATCAATACCAGTCTGTTTAATTTGTAAAAGGTTGGTCCAGGATATCCTCATGATGCTCCAAAAGTCAAGTGTGAAACAAAAGTGAGTTTCTAGTTTAAGAGCACCTGCCATTTGTTGAGTTACTTTTTTCATTTAAAAAAAAAACAACTGTTACAACAACTCTATGTTAGCATATCAAGTGGTATATTGATTTAATGTCTTAATCCAACCCCACTGAAAAAATTCACATGAAACTAAATGCTACTGTTAGTCAATTTTTCATGCAATTCTCACATGCGTAGACAATTTTTAACAATCAAATTAGCTTTTAGCTACCTTGGACTTTACAAGTCAATTCCTTGTAAACAACCTGCTTTTTATCACATAACCACCTGCATAATATCTTTGCGTGGGCTGTGAAGGAGACTACAGGAACCATGGCACTAATGCAGTTTATTTGTGCAATTTTTCAGACACCAGTGGCAATAAGCCAAAAAATATGTCTGAGTTTACTTCAGATAAACTTGATGGTTTTTTGCTCTCCATTGAACAAATTTTCATTGGAACATTTTGAAAGTAAATGCCCTTTTTCTTTTACAAAAGTGAAAACATCATTTCCTTAGTGTTCCCTTTCAAACCACCGATACAAAAAAAGAAAAAAAACTCTTGCATGGGTAGCATGCCTAAGTTTTAAACTATGTGGCCAGACATTTCAGTTTAAAAGTGGGTAAGATTTTTCATGATATTTTGTCTATATTCCTGAAAATCAAAACAGAACAGCAGAAACAACTCAGGAACTTGATGATCCAGCAGGATCAGTTCTATTTGAAACAGATGACTACTTTGAGTTCATTATTAATGACATTTACCTTCATTACTCTTGGTTGTCGCCATAAACCTAGTAACCTCAAAGGTTTAAGTTCTTGCATTAGTGTTGCTTTGTGCAACTTTTCTATCCATGATTATACATGATAAAATGTGCTCAAGTAGAATCAAAGAGTTTATGGGATACCACAATAAGGCCTTTGTAAAGGAGTTCTAAAGGAAAAGAAAAGAAAAACCAGTAATGGCAGTATTAGCAGCAATGGCATTGAAGTTGTTATTTGTGGACAAGATTTGCTCTTAATTACTAATTTCCAGTTTGGTTGGTTGAAACGGTTGGACTCCTCTCCTCAAAATATTTCAGGTGTTCATGGTATTTGGATTTTGAAAGTAATTTGACTCCCTTTTTTTCAGGTTTATCATCCTAACATTGATCTAGAAGGAAATGTCTGTTTGAACATCTTGAGGTAAGTATAGATAAATGATGATTACTGATATTATATGTTCTTTCATTTCCTTTAAAATTACTTCATGATGCAAAATCCTTAAGCTCCCAATATCTTTTGTATTTGCAGAGAGGACTGGAAACCTGTTCTTACAATAAATGCAATAATAATTGGATTACAATATCTGTTTTTGGTGAGTGCTTGTAATAAACCCTATGAGGTGAATTTTTTAGTCATTTGATCAGTCTGTCAGTGGGTGACTTTGTATTTTTGGTATTGTTCAAAATAACCAATCAGGACTCAATCTTGGAGCCCCTAGCTCGAAGGTCCTGGTAAATTAACAGGCTTTTAAAGCTCCCCTCTTTCCAATCAAGACAGGATTTTCAAAAGTTTTAAAAATTATACTATAAAACTCTCAGCTAAAGAAACAAAGTAGACTGGCTAGGGTGCCATAAGTTGCTTCTCTATTCTTTAATTTTTGTTTTTCAAAGTATGGCTTCAGGCTGTCAAGTTAGTGGGACTTTCAAAAAATGGGCCTCTTTGGATGTCTCCTTTAAGGTGTGAGCCAATAACATAACTTGACTTGTCTCTTTGATTGCAGGAACCAAATCCAGAGGATCCTCTTAACAAAGGTTAATACTTCCTTTGTTTATTTTCAAGAGGAGATTTGACATCTTCAGATTTACCCTTTGCAGAATTAGAAGTTCCAAAACCACCATCATAATTGGGTGGTGCATATAAGTAGAAGTTGATGGTGAAGTTTTCACTTCCCCCAACTCTAGGTGTTGGGCCAGGAAACAAAGTTATATTGTTGAAGGATGTAGACCAGTCTTGAGGAATTAGTTTTGTTGAAGCTCTTGAAAAAAATATTTATAGAAGTCAATAAGTTTGCTGTGTACTAGCCTCATTCCTTCACTGTGTCTTTCCTTTGCCACAGATGCTGCTGAAGTTCTTCGAAGTAACAGGCGGTTGTTTGAACAGAATGTGGGGAAATCCATGAGAGGAGGATATGTAGGAAGTGTCTACTTTGAACGTTGCCTCGTAAAGTGATGCCTTCATTGGACACTCCAGAGAGCTTACCCTCTATTTATTAACACTTAAAACTGTTGCAGTGCAAATTTGCTAAAATCAAAGCCAAAGAGGAGTTTGGTACCAGGCACTTTTGAACAATTCAAGGGACACTGGGCACAGATGGAGGACTTTAAAGTTACTATAAACAAATCTTAGACCCTTAATTTTCCAGATCAAGATTTGTTTTGCTTTATCCTCCTTTTAGCCCAAGCTTTTAACCTTCTTTTTCTCTTGAATGTTACCATTTTCTTTCTATGGAAATAATCACGTTTCAAAGTTAACGTAGTTGACTGGAAACCCCTAGTTCTTTACTCTATCTGAAATTATCTGGAGGCAAACTTCAACTCCTGTGGTTGATAGCATTTCCTAAGTTTCTCCCAAATTAAGCAGGACAGAATTCAGAGAAACTGTTGCCCTGCTATAATCATTGAAAAGTACAGCTTAGTAGCTCAAGTATGAATGAATAATTGTGAGGGTTTTCTCAGAAAAATAATAGAGGAAATACCATCTACTAATCTGTGGTTTGAGTCTTTAGGTGTAAGGTTGTTTTATAAAGTTCCTGAAATGCAGTGCTAGATTTCTTATTTTTTTTGCCTGACTAAGAAAATAATTTTCTTCTAGTCTTTATCTATAAAAATTCACTTGATTAGATTATGAAGCTAAATTTAGGAGACAAGGAATGGTCATTGATTTTATTGTGCTTTAGCAGTCTTGTATCTCATTGTTTGAAAGTGTTTCAGTTCTCAGCTTCAATTGTCTGCTGTAAATGCTACATAGGGAGGGAATATCACTGTACTGATATGTGAAATCTAGAATAGACATTTTTTGTACAGTTGTGTATAAAATAAACATAGTATGCTGTGTAAGCAGGCGTTTGATTTGTGATAATGCTATTTTTATTTAGGTGGTTTGTAAGGTTCCTGAACTTACTTTATTTAAAACTCTGGACTTTGGAATTAAGGACAAAAAATGATGATAATTTGACGCAAAAGATAACATCCTAAAATCGTTTTCCTCGTTCAGGCGAGGTAGCTGCAGAACTATATGAATTTGTTCTGTTTGGACGCTTGTAGGGCTTTCCGTCTGATGTGTGTAGGTTTTTTCCAACCAAAGAAACGCAAAGACTTTGTACCGTAATCATCTTGGACAGGGGACGACTCAGAAGGAAAACTAGACTCATATTCGTTCTCCCCCTCCCAGGTTATCTCTACATCTTCAAGTCTCTATTGGGCCCCTGGAGGATTTGCCAGAACTATTACAGTATATGCGCAGGGTTACAGTAGCGGGTTAAAACAAAAAGGAAAAAGTTAGTCGCGAACAGAAGCAGCCATTCTGGTAACACCCAATAACCCAACCACACCTCTAACCCGCCCACTAAAATAACCAATCAGGTTGCGGCTTGCATACACTAAAACTCGGCCCAGGTGCCCACGTAAACTTAATTTGCATGAAACTAACATGGCGTCACGTTTTACAAAGTTCTGTGTGAATAATTTTCACCTTCAATCCTCTCCATGGAAAGTTGTTAGACGTTTAAGATCACAAATTTTGGTAAGATTCTTTTATGAGTGGTTTGGAGTTTTTCCTGAGTTAGCTACCAGATGTAAAATAACGCGTGGATTGTGACGTGACCTTCAATTGAGCTCTCAAGGATTCCTCGCTCCAGTAGAAGATCCTAGTCTTTTTTTCTTTGAGACAAAGAGCGACAGACAGTTCATTTCATTGCGATAAATCTTCTCTCTAAGAAATCAATTCAAAGTGATAAGATCCTCTCAAATTTGCACTTTTAGGAAACGCTGCTACCGTCAGATCAATATTAATGCTTTTATAATTACATACAGTGGCCAAAGATACTTACAAGGAGCCAATTAGCGTCTGTGTTTGAAATTGACCATCAGGGAATTAAGAGATATCATTAGTTCTTTTAGTTACACAATAAAGCTGAAAATGTTCTGGTATCACTCTAATTTACGGAAGGTTTCAGCTCAGTTTTCCGATCCTCTTTCTTTGATTTTATTTGTAGATTCGAGGCTTGTCCACAGATTCTGATTTTAAGGTATGTTACTCACTATGTGGCATGATGGTCTGTTAGGGGTCATAAGTCCTATCTATTTGATTAATGTCATGTTTTTTAACAATCTCTTTATTTCTGTCTCTTCACCTTTGTAATTTAAGAGTGGCATGCAAATAGAATTAATCAGAAAGTTGGGAAAAAGTTAAAAGGAGACATTAACCCTTTATGCCCGAACATCAGTATCCATATTCTCCATTCTCTTCTTTATACGTTTCCTTTAGTACTGACAAGGAGAATTGGTTTTACAACTGTAGCTTCTTTGGGTGGCAATCATTTCCTTTATTCTCATGATCTCAACAAATGATTTAGCCAAATTACTGTATGGAGAAATTAGATGCTGGTCACTCTCAGAGTTTAAAGGGTTAAACAGACTGTGCAAGTCAGTTAAAAAATCCCCTTTCAGTGGTCCAACAATGTAGCACAACAGTTTTTGATACAAACTATCTACTTAAAAATACTCAGCCTCTTATGTTCCTTTAAAGTAAATAATGAGACTTTTCCATCACTAAAAATCCTCTCTCCCTCCCTTACTTATGTCGTGGTATTTTTATTTATTTTTGCGAGGTGGCATTGTATCACCAAATTTACCAGCTTGTCTTTGCAAGGCTCATTTACTTCCCATATCAGTGTTTTATGTTTTGAAATCAAGGAAATGTGTTCTGCACATAGTATGATAATTACTGGTAATACTGTGTAATGGTTAGAAGAGTAGTTGTAATAATTTTCCTATGATTTTGCTTTTCATCAATTTGTTCTGATTAAGTCTGCCCTTCTTATCTGATTAGCCCTCTTCCCTAGAATGGAGAATGTCATTTTCTCAAATAAATGCCCTTACAGGTGCCCTCCCTGAAATAAGTTCCCATCCACAAGGCCAAATACAGCATCCTCTGGAAGCCTTACAAAATAATAAGTCCCCTTGTGGTTTATGAGAGCATTCATGATACGCTTTCTTTCCTTGAATAAACACCCACACTCTTATAAGGACCCTTCCTTGAATAAACACCCCCACCCACGGGGCCATAATGTAAAACATTTGCTCCTCTCAAAATAGCACTCTTCACCCCTCTTTTCCTTGCTTTCAGTGGGTTTATAAAGAACACCTTTTTCTGTAGCCACTTTGTTTATAACTTTTTGAGCTTCAGCAGGATCAGAACAGAACAACAGTAAGTGCCCCCCCTTAATAAAGCACCCTCTTCCCAATAAGCACCCCTCAAATTTCTAATAATTAAGCACCTGTGCATTTCTTTACGTAAATATGGTAAGTTTCCATGTTTTTAATGTATTATAATTTTTTTTTCAAGTATGATAGGCTCGTAGTTGAACCAACCAAGTCTCCAAAATCCAAATCAGACTATAATACACTGGTCTTTGGTGCAGAGTTTACAGATCACATGCTTAGTATTGAATGGACTGCAGAGAATGGCTGGGCTGATCCAAAAATTAAACCATACCAAAATTTGTCATTACCTCCATCCTGCTCTGTCTTTCACTATGCACTAGAGGTAGGGAAACACAGTTATTTCCTTTAGAACCATTTTCAATTAATTTTGATCTACTCATTTGGATTTATCCTTTGTGACTGGGTTTGAAGAAACTCGATAATTTACCGGTAGATACAAAACTAAAACCAATTGCAATTTGGCAACACTTGCACATATTTTCCTGCACATGATGTTACTTAATTATATGTTTATACCTCAAATTCTCAGTGGTCCCTTACAGTTCTTACCTTTGTTCATATTAAGCATTGTGTTTATTCAATAATTTGTTTTGATTTTGAACCCTAATATGATAAGCACCCTAACATGATGACTTTGTAATTCAAAATAAACTACATTGTAGTCTTTCATATTAAAGTGCCATCAATTAATGGATATAGAAACCGAAACAAGCTGAATAGACCAAACTCTGTTGATCACAACCTTGTAAACTATCCCAAATGCTTAACCCTCAAGAAATAGTCTAATGGTGAAATAATTGTTTGTTGTCTTTGTTTGGATAGATTTTTGAAGGCATGAAGGCTTACAGGGGGGATGATGACAAGATCAGGTTATTTAGACCCATGGAGAACATGAGAAGAATGAACAGATCAGCTGACAGAGCTTGTCTACCAGTCAGTCATATTTTTGTTTTCAACTGAGTTCAAAATGATATTTCTGTTCTTTTAAATGAGCTTAACAGAATGATATTTTGAATATCAAGAACAGTTTAACTCTACATGTTACCAGTTGCTTTGAGAGAGGTGGTACTGTAGCAGCAAATCCAGGGAGAGGGCCGTGAGGTCTTAACAACAGCCCCCTTTCCTCCTTTTAATGAGACCAATTGGTTTTTGTACTTCTTGTTTGACACTAAAAGTCTTGCAGTGACTGGATTGCATGTTTGTAGTCAATATGAAGTGTTCAAATGTTATTTATCTTGATTATTTCTTAGCTTATTAAGTTGGAAATATTTTCTTTGTTTTCTGAATTATGGTTTGGTGTCATTCTTTTCCCCCCCCCCCCCTCCCTTGCCTCTCTTTGTAAAAAAATTCCTGGATCTGTCTGTGGATTGAAGTGATTGATGATGAGGATGACTGACTAGGATTTCAATCCATGAGCTCAAACAATTTTGACCTTAAAAATTCCATGATGGACAAACATGGATGTTAGGTAATTTAGTGTTAACAACTGATTTGAGAACATAAATTGGCCATTGTAACGGGTAAAAAAGCTGACATTTTGAGCATTAGCCCTTCATCAGAGTGATAGACAAAGGGTTAATGCTCGAAACATAAGCTTTTTTTACCCTTTATGGTGGCCAATTTACATTTTCAACTCAGTTGTGAACACTAAATTACCTGCTATACTCTCCCACTGACGCAGCACCACGGTTTCTTTAGAAACTTACCTCCTTTAAACATGGATGTTGTTGCTTTAAAATTATCAGAATTTTTCTCACTTGAGAACTGTTGTGTTGCTTCTCATGGCAGGGTTTTGATGGTGAAGAACTTGTCAAGTGTATAAAACATCTTATTAGCATTGAAAGAGAATGGGTGCCTTATTCAAACAAGTGTTCCTTATACATTCGACCAACTCTTATAGCAACACAGGTAAGGTGGACCATTATAATAATTAATATATAGATTTAGCCAAGCCTAAAAGCGGAGCTTGCATATTTTTTTTCCTGCACATCTCAAGGGCACAACGCCTTGCCCTAGCCAGGACTAGAACCCTGGTCGTCTGACTTGGAGCCCAGAACACTGACCACTGGACTACTGGACAAAACCGTGGCATTGGTGTGCCTGCAGTACAGTTGACCACGCATGTTAAAAGTAGCACCTTGTATGGTTGTACAGTCATACGGTCGTACATCCAAATTTTTTCAGCTTGAAAGCTCTGCTTTTAATAATGCTGGTGAAAAATTATAAATAAAACTTGAACTTGGCAGGCTCTGACACCCAAGTCAAGTGATGATAGCAAGCCTTCAAATCACAGTAAAATTCAACTATCATTCCTGGACTTGAACTGTTTTCTATTTTGGTAATTTTCATTAAGTATTCTTCAGCTAAAACCATTTTACTTCTCTATTACTATTTCATTGTATGTCAATTGAGTGAATTGACAGGGAGTGCATCAGCCAATCAGAATGCAGAAGTTGTTCACCGAAGTAACAATTTTTTTATAGCCTGTTTGTAAAGTGGCAAGATTTCTAATCCTTCCTCCATCCTAAATTTTTAATCTTAAGCCCAATCTTGGTGTAAACAAGGCGTCCTCAGCCCTGCTGTATGTCATCTTGTCTCCTGTTGGACCATACTTCAAGACAGGGACATTCAGTCCAGTTGCACTGCTAGCTGATCCTTCTTTTGTCAGAGCCTGGCCTGGAGGTGTTGGAGACTGTAAGATGGGAGGGTATGTATCTTAGAATTTACTCTGTAGAAAACATTATGGCTTGGGAAATATTACTGATAACCCACAATGCAAAGAATTCTTTTCTTCCCTCTCACTGGACAAGAGCATACCATGCAACCTGCTAAGTAATGCTTTCACAAATAATAGTTTAGGAGTTTTGCTTCAAATGATGTTCAGTTCATGGGTAGTTGTGTCCATGTCTTTTTGTGAAAAATAGCAGATTCCTCTCTAAGCTGTTTAAAAATGTTTCTTAACATTTTTAGAAAATACAATCATTTTAGATATAAAATGTTCTGTTTATTTTCATAACAGAAATTATGGTCCTACCATACTTGCTCAAAGACATGCAGAAATGCAAGGCTTGCAACAGGTTCTATGGTTGTATGGTGAAGAGCGACAGGTCAGAAAATATAAAATAAGAGAATTCTTTGCATAGAGGAAGAAAATATAATCAGCTGATTATGATTCTAGAAGCACCACTTTTATAGATATTCACAGATCACATATTTTTTTCCTCACAGATTACAGAGGTTGGAACCATGAATATATTTATGTTTTGGATTAATAACGATGGAGGTAAGCATAGGATTTATTATCATTTGATGCATTCCATAAGCCAATAGCTGATCAGTGAATTGTAAATTGCTGCTTACAAACAATAGTCTGATCATGGGTAACACCATCTAACTGTTTTGCAATACAAGTAATTTTATCTCTGCGTGTTACTGTATCTTTGCTGTTCTGTCAGTGAAAAAATGGCTAGACATGTTGCTGACCTAGCTAAGAGTGGTGACCAAAAACATATAGGATGATACAATAGTTAAATGATAACACAAGGACTTTCAGGTAACTCTTTGAACTCCCAGTGAGTTAAAAGGGTTACAGTAGCGATTAACATATAACTTCTCCCCATAATATCCATATGTTACCCAGAAAAAAGGTAATGAGAACATTTAGATCTATCAGGTAGAGGTTGTTATCTTGATCGCACACCAAATTCTCATAACTTATTTATAAGAAAATGTGTAGCAGACAGAGGGGAGAATTAACAATCAGATCTTGGGAGCTAGAGGGTTAATAGTGTCGCATAGATCACTATATTTTCATTGGTTAATGTCATCCAGTAAATGATCAATGACAGAGAGATGAAAAAATGCTGAACACAGCATACTTCTAAGACAGTTAAAACAACATTCTAGCCATTCTATAGAAAGGCTTTTCCATTTTAAATTTTTAGTTCAAGTGATCACCATTACGAAGTTTATCTCTTTCTTAATCTAGTTTTTTTTCTCATGTTTTTATTTCAGAGAAGGAACTGATCACCCCACCCCTCAATGGTTTAATTCTTCCTGGAATTACACGGAAATCTTTACTAGAACTGGCCAAAAGCTGGGTAGGAAACCTTTGTTTAATCCTTTAACTCCCAGACCAAATTTGTAATTCTCCTTACTAAGAATCATACAATTGTTATGATGGTAGTTTAGAGAATTTAGTATTGGATCAACTAATTATCCCCAAATTGATAGTTTTCTTTATTCTCATCACTTATCTGGTTGATATTGTATTGATATTGTAAGGAGAAATTCTGTCTTGGTCACTCATGAGAGTTGAAGGTTTAAAGAATGTATGGAGAGGAGGATAGGGAAAGGAACAACAAAGGATATTGTAAGACACCTTTTGTTCTAAAAGAGGTTGTTGATTTGGGCCTGAAAGTAGGTAATACTTTGTGGAAATTGTTATTCACTGAGATTTTATCTAATGGACTTTGAATCGTTTTAAAGTTATGTCATATTGCCTCAATTTTTTTAACCAAACGTTTTCGTGAAATAGGAAAACAACATATTTGTACATTTTAGTATACTTTTTGTAACTAAGTTTGTATTTCCTCTTTTCCCACAGGGAGAATTCAAAGTTGTAGAAAAGGAATTTAATATGGACGATGTTATACAAGCTTCACAAGAAAATAGGGTAAAGAAGTTCAATCTTGACACTACCTGACTAGCCTTTTATAACTGCTTTAGTTCATAAACATTTAGTTATGATAACGTTTTTGTGGAAAAAAGTATAGGCAAAACGCGACAGGCTCTCATTGCAGATGTGATGTTGATTTAAGAATTAGGAAAGAATACAAGTGCTTGTACCCGTGACACCCCCCCCCCCCCACCTTTGTAAGCAAACAACTTGCACAACTTGCAATATTTAGGTGGCGAAAACTGGTGATTACTCTCTGTTTGATTCAGTGTAACACACCCCCCCCCCTCCCCTTTGAAAACCCCGGCTACGCCCTTGGTATATATTTGTAAGTTAATTCAAGTCATCATAAATCTGTTGTTAAGCCACTTTTTGTTTTGAAACTGTCGAGTGGCTCAGTGGAAGAGCGTTGGATCCTGAAATCCGAAGGTCTGACTCACTGGGAGGCTGTAGCATTTTTCCCTTTGTTCCGCGCTCGTGACAAGGTTGAAAACGTCTTTCTCCGTTTCATTACCAAGCTCAAGATTTCTCATCTTTCTTATTTATTTTGCGAAACTTAATGTTATATTTTGTCCACCCTTTCGTAGATAAAGGAAATGTTTGGAGCAGGAACAGCTTGTGTGGTGTGTCCAGTGAACAGAATTCTTTACGAGGGACAGGTAGGAGAATAAGAGAAACATTTGAAATTTGAATTGCAAGACCAGTGTGAACTTTAGGTACCCGGTCACTACGGTGACATGTCAACTCGCCGATGCCTTTGGTCAACTTACCAACAGTCGTACTTGGTCAACTCGCCGACATACCGGTCACTTCGATGGCATCCTCGGTCACTTCGCCGACATCCTGATGGTGTCGGCGAGTTGGCAAATGGTGAACGCGAGTTGACTAATAGTGTAGGCGAGTTGGTTGTCGGCGAGTTGATATGTCGGCGACGTGATCGGTAACAGTCATATTGGGGCCAAAGTCACTCGTACTTGTCCAACACACTTTTTGATATTATTCAGCAAACGAAATAAAGTGAAGTATTGAAACGAAGGTAACAATTGGAGCGAAATATACATTTGAAGCAGAGGTAACAATTGGCACGAAATGAACATTTGAGGCACTTGCTAAAATAAAATAAGAAATAACAAGTTACCACAATTATACGCAAAGAAATCGTCAAATGAAAAAGAAAAATTAAGGACAACAAAATACACTTACAAACGTTGTACGAGATCCTGGCTGGCTAAAGATAATAAAAAATGATTAAGAAAACGATGGCACGGTGCAAGTCAAACGATAAAGCCGAATGAATAAAAGTTTCGGCTAAGAACTTATACGAATGACACAAACGAAGAAAAATTATGCACAAAAAAAAGTATTAGAACATCAATGAAAGTAATGGACGTGAAAACAAAAGAACTTAATGAAAAAGCGACAAAGGCGAAAAACGAATAGCGTAAAAATAAAGTCCAAATAATTTTGGCGGCAGCAAGTCAGAAGAGTCGAAACTACTTGCACAGTTCAAACGGTGGTGCCCATTGATGGTTTCTTTCCAATAACCTGTCTGGCACTTCTCCCATTTTGTCCCTCATTTTACAGATGCTCTTTTTCTTGAGGGACTTATTCGTCCTTGTAATTCTCTATGTCGTTGTTTAGAATATCATGATTCCCACCATGGAAAACTTGGAAGTCACTAAGAGATTTTACGACGAACTAACTGCGATACAGGTATGTTTATGGTTAACGGGGTACGTTTCACGGACTTGAAAATTGTTGGATATTGCCACGATACTGTTTTATGAAATCGAACGACAAGGTGACGTTGTTTTTCCAAGAAAATCAGTTCTTTCTGTCTGTTCATGTACGCTGTTTGTTACTTGCTGAAAGCATAGATTTATTAGTGGAGAGGAATGGTGTGACGGGAAATTTTTAGGACTCGTTTTTGAAATTATTAATTCAGGTGGACAAGGACATTTTACGTTTTTTTAGGGAAACGTCTGGGAATTTCAAAAACGTATAACGGTAGCAACCATGTGGTACGGAATTTCTCGTGCCAGACTCTTCACAAACCCTGTCGCAGGCTCGCTTCTTTAGCCGGCACGAAAAATCGCGGCTTTAGCGATTGAAAAGACAAATTTATACCAGACACAAAGGGGTTTTTCTTAGCGTCATCTTCTTAACAAGTGCTACCCTGATATCATTATCTTCATGTTTTATCTTTCAGTATGGTCGCAATCCTTCTCCTTGGAGCGAATTTGTGGATTAAATACTGAAAAATTAGCGGGCGCTAGCGGGTGCGTGGCCAGTAAAAGTTGATCTCCTTGCGCGTGCCTTACGTTTGACCTCTGCGATGCAGTTTTTTCAAGTGCGCTTTCCCGCGCTTGACACTGATACGTGAACGGAAATTAAATAGCTAGACTCTTTTTTTCTCATTTTGCTGTAGCTTAGAAGTGCTTCAAGAAAAATACGTTTTAATGAACTGGTCAAGCGAGAACTCTTAACTTTTTTCATGAAAAATACAAGCACTATCGGGTCGCCATTGCATTCAAATTGAATCTTTCAGTCGTGCTCTGAAGCATGATTGCTGGAAAGACCTTCTTTCAGAGGCTGAAACCTCGTTTAAATGTCACAGGGTGTATCTGTGATTTTAGATTGCAGGTAATAATTTCAGAGAGATCTTACTACTTATTTGAGCTGACGAGCAAATTTAAGTTATTAAGGCTTTTGGTTTGCTTAAAGCAACGTGCGATAAAATATTTTTGTTAAGGTGGAGTGCGATGGGATTGTTAAACCACATCGTAATGTTTTTATTATTTTATCATTTTTCGACAAGGAAGTCGTAATTTTTTAACTTCTATAGGTTTAAAGAAACAGTGTACACCTTATTTAGAGGTGAAAACAGGTTTTTTTTTCTTTTCCTTTATATGCTAATGACTCGATCGCACTCTATGTAGTAGTATGACATTTTATTTATCCAAACATTGGTGTACTTTAATAAACTGTAGTGGCTTCGTTTGATAATTAGCGTCTGCCATGTCAATACTTTACTTTCTCCCCTTCTGTAAGAAAGTGTGTTGGTGGAGGGGGGGGAGGGGGGAGGGGTTAAATATTCCATCGAGAACTTTGCAAGATAGAGAGTTTGTGTGTGGATTCTTAGACCCTTTCTTTTTTTTCTCTCTCTTTTTTAGACGAAACCCGGTTATTTTGATACCCTAATTTAGACAAAAGAAAAATTGATATAGTGTGGAAGATCGACTTCATTCTATTAAGTGTATCATACTCAGATAAATCATTTTAGTTAGGATTAAAAACGTAATTGCCAATTGCCACACATCAGGCCGCTTATCGTTGACGCCAACACTTTTTTAACCTTTAACTCCGATGAGTGACTACGACAGTATCAGTACAATATGATTAAGCAGACAAGAGACGAGAATAAAGAAAAATATCAGTTAGGGGATTATTTATTGATCCAATACCAAATTCCCCAATCTTACATCTTAAGAATTGTATGGGAATCAGTAAGGAGAATGACTTGTTAGATCTTGGAAGTGCAAGAGTTACAGAATTCCACTTTAAAAGAAACTCAGTTAAAAGGCAGATTTTTCTACCCAATTAAAAGATAACATCTCGAAAACTTTACCCTGCTTCTGACTTGTCGCTAAGCTCTTCCTTAAGGGCTTCTTCCTTTTCCTTTTTCCTGAGGAATCGAATCTGACTCGTGTCCAGTCGTCTCTCTGTTGACAACCTTTTAAATGCTCCCTAACCCCCCCCCCCCGCTCTTTCCCCCATGGGATCAAGACTTGCCTTTACTCTGAGGGCCCCGACTCCAACATATGTAATCTCCGATGCCAACCGGTCAACCTGGGCAAACACTTAGAAGGCTTTTGTTCAAAATGGGTTGGCAAAACTTCGTGATTGATTACTCCTTGATTTAATTGACACTCGCCTCGCCATTATACACGCAACGTTGCGTGTGAATCTTCACAAGGCTATTTGTTTCAACAGCTGATTTAAAGATCGGCGGTAATCTATTGTTTTGCGTCATAGGAAGCACCTAAGATATCTTGTTGATGGTGTAAATTGACCACCGAGGTTGAAGAGTTTCTAAGCTGACGTTTCGATCGTTAGCCCTTCGTCAGATCGATTGGGAGAATTGTGGATAATGTTGTGATAATGTTTGGGACAATTATTCGAGACAGTAAAAAAAGAAACCAGAAAAGCTGAAGTGCGTAATATTTCATTTATTTTCTGGGGAAAAACTAATTACACATAAAATAGGTTCTTGAGTCTCAAGAGCGGCATAGATTAAGGTAAATTTACAACAATTCCCACGGTCAGCCCGTATGCTCTCCCTTGAAATTACTACTACACCCGTGTAGCTACTCAATCAAGAGAGCTCAAATCCAACGCGAAGGTAATGACGAATAATTTCTAGAAACTGCCCTGACTTTGCATTTTAGATTGGTTCCTTTAAAGCGTTTGCCCATTGTACATAATCCGTCATCTCTATCATTATACGAACTCAGTAGTTAAAAACTTGTTCGTTAAAAATGACGCATTTCATTTCCGATAGATTAAAAAAAAGCTGTATTGAAATCGGCAAAATCAGTTAAAAAACAAAACGTTTAAGTTTGATCTGAATACATTATGAATCACAAAGAACTGTTTCTAATGATCGCAACAAAGTATACTCCCCGGACTCGAACTACGCGGCAAGTCGAACCAAAATCCATTAATTTCTATTACATAGTCTGCATAACAATTGTTATCACGTTGCTCTCCAAGCCTAGGCTTTCGGTCCATACGACCAAGCGTAAAGTGGGTACGGGAAAAAATGCGCGCGTCAGGCAAACGAAAAAATAACGCTTGTTCTGCTGACTATCCCCTGGGTTTCCTTGATACAATTACAATCATCTTTTCCTTATCTAGTCCCAACCAGTTCTAGTTACCCTTTGGGATATTATTCTTTATTTTTTCAAGAATCTCAGCTTCGATCAGTTGAATCAAGTTTATAAATCCTACCTAACAGTCACAACAAACGTTACAGTACTGTAGTCTTAAGCAGAAAGTTATTCCAAGCATTCGTGTTTCTCTCATTTTTTTCTGTGGCGCTACTTAGAGCATATTCGACCTACAATGCAAGGTATCCGCACATAGCTTTGCTTTGCTCTCCTTTTCAAAAATTCCCCATTTTCAACCGACTTTGTTACCCCGTGATTAGACTCGATTAAAATACCCGAAAATATCGACAAATGTAAGACAGTGAACACCATTTTTTATTCATTTTTCGCTAGACAATTGTTCACAACTCCCGATATCGTTAACTCTCAATTACGGGAAGCTGAGCTCCCAGTAAACAGAAGTCGACTGCAATAGGATAATTTAATTTATGTAAATTATGTAATTTAATGTAATTTATGTAAAGGACTTTACTATTAGAAGGTGCTTAAATTTAAATCAAAATATACATTTGATGGAAATCTTTCTCAGAAAATCTTAATTTTAGAGGTAGCAAACTATTGATAATGACAGTAAGAATAGAGAAGTGAAGCAAAATACGAAATAATTCTTTCTAAAACCACTGATAATCATACAATGAGTCATTACTACAAGGAGACTGAGCAAAGTGATTGTTAAAAGGGGAGTTTTCTTGTGTGTTGTTTGAATGTGGTGAGCTATTAGCAACAGGAAGTCTGTCCTGTGGAAAGTTAGAGTCCAGAGGACTTGTGCAATTTGAATTGGACGATGGATTTGTTTGCGATCGTAGCATTTGTTGCTGTTGTTGTATTCGTTGCATTTGATGATGTGCAAGTGGCTGCTGCAATTGTTGTGGTGGTAAATGTTGTAATCGTACTTGTTTTTGTTGTTGCTGGTACCCCTGAAACTGTTCCTGTTGTTGTTGTGTGCGTTGTTGTATATTCATTTGTTCTTGAAATTGTTCGGCTAGAAGCTGTTGCCGGTACAACATCACTTGGTCCTGCGGTGTACGTCGTGTTGATTCGTAGTAGAGCATTTGTTGTATAACTGGCGTCTGTTTCTGCCACTGAACTTGGTCAACTTGTCTTTGAAGCCAACGTTCTTGATCATAATAACTTCTCTGTTGTCTCTCGGCGATCTCATGATGGTTTTGTTCTGAATTAGCAGTAGAACCTTGGGCTTCACTGGAGCAACTTTTCACCTCCATCCCCACTAATCTCGCAGATAAAATGGCAGAACTTTCTGCCGTTAATTTTTCAGCTCTCGAACCATTACAAACTTCCCGCAATTCTCCATATTTTGACATCATTTCTTGAATCGTTCTGTATTCGTTCTCGACTTTCTCTGCAGATTTATCCTTTTCGAGACGTTCAAGCATATCTCGCAATTCACCCTGAATCCTTATTTGCTTTTGAATCGTAAGAAGCTCTTTCGATTGCTTGTTGATCGTTTCGATAACCTGTACATACTTTTCTTCCAGGAATTTATGGAGGGTGTGTTGCGCGATTGTCAAGTCCGAGGGAAAATTAATGCTACTTAGAAACTGGAAGCTTTCTTGCATATCAATTAGTTGATTGTCTTCTGAACCATTTGTGTTAGACACTGGCGAACTGCAGTCACTCTGAGAATCTAGTGATCCAGCTCTTTGACACCTCGCCGTTTTCTCCAAACCTGATTTTCCTGACAAGTTATTACCATCGATTTCCATCAATTCGCTTTGACAACTTTGCGCATCAATGTTTTTGGGAATTAATGAGCTATTCGGAGAATTATTTTTTCGTGCATTTCCCTCGTTTACACTTAATTCAATCGACGCGAATTTCCGTTTATCGCGTGCCAAAATTTCTCCCTGTTTCTCGCAAACTTCACTCTGCGAAACCACCCATGTTAGACTGGTTACTGCCTGTGGTTTCGAATCCCACTCACTGTAAGACACATCGTAACGGGACTGAAGCCAGATCCATGATTGTCCCTTGGTGCGATGTCGATAAAAACAAGTCGTGATTTTTCCGTTTGAAAGCAACCATCGATGATATTCCACCAAATTTTCAAGGTCTTCCGTGTGACAGTATTCGTAAACAGATTTGCCAATTAACTCAGACGGAAAGAATCCCAGAACCGAGGCGACATGTTTGTCCAGGTAACCATATTTACCTTGCATGGTCAAAGTCGCCGTGAATTTTGTTTGAGCACCATCCGCTTTCGACAGAACTTTTTCAGAGGGAACGCCACTTAATGGTTTCGCTAGTAGCACTAGATACTCGGAAACATCAATATCCACGCTGCTCTGGGGCTTGGGACAATTTTTAAGAATTGTTCCAACGCAGTAGATCGTTTCAAACTCGTGCGAACCGCGGCGAAATTGGCACCAAAATGGCTCCAGACGTTGCGACTGTCTAGTCGTCGCGAGTATGGACAGTATTCTCTGGAAAATGATCGCATCTCGCGTGCCGATGAATTCAAACACGTTTCTGTCAAGTATACTCTGCGGTAAATGTCCTAAACAAGCTTGCGCATTGTCTGAAACATAAACAACTTGTCCAGTCTGGTTGAGAGCAATTATTACCATGTTCATCGACTCTAAATAAACAAAGTTGAATTCATCGTCCGCTACGAACGCAGGCTTCACGCGTTTTTGCCATCCTTTCGCAGCTTTCTCAGCCGCTAATTTTTCCTGCTCGAGAAAATATTCACCGGTAAGTTTCAAAATGGAACTCTTCTCGGTGCTTTTTTTCGTGTGGCATCTGTCTGTCAAGTAAATAGCAAGTTCGTCGATCAGTCCATTGAATCTACCACGACGTTTCTTCTCCGTTTGATTGCGATCAATTCGTTTACTTTCGCTGTCGTCCAACTCTGGCCGCACGAGCTTAGACGGCTTCATGTTCCCTTGCAAATTTTTTCGTTTCTCTCGGAATCTCGGGGCCAGACGGGATCCTGGCAAGTGAATATGCTTTGTTAAACAATTGTCAAATATGATTGGTTGATTTTGAAAGGTCACGTAGAGACCGGAACAATCAATTCTCCGAGGGATTCCCAGTACCATTGAAAATGGAGACGCAGGCATCGATTTATATAGACAAAGTATGCAATATAAATATCTTTTTTTAGTATTGACATTCCTGTGCAAATTTTGGATTGAATCATACCATTGCAAACAGAAAATTATTTTGAGATATGATTCCGCTAACCACTGTCCACTGAAACTGTTTATAGTTTGAAGATTATTTTCTAGTTTGCAAGGTTGCTTGCTACAGCGAAGGAATTTTTTAATCTGGAAATTGGCAACCTAGAAGGAAACGATTCTTTCAATCGGAGAGAATGATTTCGTAAGCTTTTTATTATCACATTAGGTATTCACATGCATTAGACAGTGCGGTAAAGAATGAACTTCGCATTTCAAGGCAAAATTCTAATCCGAGTTCCGCCCCCGTAAAAGGGTAACATATGCAAGGCAGAAAATTTAATTTGTATTTCGGTATGCCTTTTTTCCTAAACAAATGTAATGAGTTCTGATAGATCACAGCAAGTCCAGTCTGCATGCATGCTGTTGTCACCACCCGAAACTATTAGCGGTTGTTTTCCGTCTCGTGGCAAGAGTCGAGATTTATTGCTCTCACTGAAATGAATGTTAAGTGACACGATTTGCACCTGAGAGTCCGATTAAATTTAAGCCTTTCATCCGAATCACTTTGTTCTCAGATGACGCCATTAAAAATCGCAAGACCTATCGAAAACTTTTCCTCCTAAAAGGAGAAAACAAAAGCTTAAAATTGAGCTTTACGTAAATTTCACTGTGATAAGATTTTGAATTAAAAGAAAGAAAAAAACACACTTTTCATATATTGTGCAACATCAGGTCACATGACACCAAAAGTGCCCTTATCGTGTGACCTTTAACCCCTAGGCACTCAAAGCATCAGAGAATGTGTTCACGTGAGCATCAGCTTGTATCAGCTGGGTTTCATTTGTTACATCACTTATCGCAATTCGACAGACATCTCCGCTGTTCCTCTCGGAATGTTACGTAAAGCACCAATATGGTGTTTTCATTACAGGCGAAGCTTCGTCTGAGAAAAATAAACTGACGAAAAATGTACGGCAAACAAACCGAAGAAGACAACGGAAGAAAAAAAACTTACTTATGCCCGAATGAGAAAAATTTCAATGCACCTTAGGAGATTTCAACAAAGTAAAGTGAAGTTGAAGATGAGGTGCAGTACCTTTTTTTTCTTTCTTTCCCTTTTTTATTTTATTTTTGGCTTTTCCAGAAACACACGCGACTGTTGCCTTTTTCATATTTACCTACATAGCGCCTGCATTCTGGCCAAACATTTTTTGTCAGTAAATCATCAGCAGAAAAATCCCACAGATGGTAACCAGGCTTTTTATACATCAATAGTTTAAAAATATCTTAAATGATTGACTTTCACTATTTTCGATGGCGTGATAGTTAAAACACAGTAGGCATGTCAGACGTTTGGAAATGCCCATGTTCTCTTTACATGCCATTTTCTTTGTACAAGATCACGAACTGGTGCAATCACGAAATGGCCATGTAGACAGCACGTAGACAAACAAGTAGCTCAGAAGAAACTTTATGTGTAAAACAAATACTGCCCTAAATAGAGCGCTCAAAGAAGTGCTAAAACCTTGCCTAACACAATCTTTTGTGGCTTATGAATACAAATTATTCACCTTACATTAGTTTACGAAGTTCTTACCGTTTAGTTTACTGAGTAAACTCAAAACTTCTGTTCGATTTATTCAAGGTTGCTCAACGTGCCAGGATTCTTAATTACGTAACGGAGTATGTTGCTGCGTGACACGAGTTGTGTGACGAACGAAAGAGACAAGTTCTTCACCAACATTTGCTTCCACGAGACAAAAACAGTTGCAAATCCGTGAAATCCCACCAAAATTTAATTCCTCGTGGTAAACAACGAATCCTATAGAAAGTTCTAGCCTTGACTACGGAGAGGCTACGCGAACGAACACTGACCACATTTTTGCACATCAAAGGTCACGCTCCTCTGTTCTCTTGCGGGAGAGCACGAGCTCTGGGAACGAGATTGGCAGAATGGCGGACACAATTTCAGCGTAGAGATGAAAGTATATTTGGGTGTCTACGAAAGGTTTTTCGCGGCAGAAACTGCCATAAAATCTGCAGAAAAATATGCGCCATCTTTTTAACAAGGTCAATATCTGCAAATATGCTTACTTGAAATGTCGAGCTTTATCGCAGTGGACAGGTGAGGTCAGTACTGGAAAGCTTGCTGATTTCATCACTCGCTGGTCTTGACTTTATTCAGTTCTTGACATGTAATGTTAACTTTTTCAAAGAGTAACACAAATAAACTCATTTAACATCATGCAAATACATAAGCAAAATCCTACGGCACGACTTGACAACGTACAGTCTTACCCCACACGTTCTCAGGGGTGGGATGGGGTGGGGTAGCCATTGCACACTTTATAAAAGTTTCTTTGATGGGTGATTCAAAGTTACCTCGTCGACTGTCGGTTTTTCTAGAGAGCTATTCTCTGCAGTTACCCCCTTGATTGGGATAGAAGCAAATAATGTAATGCTCCATGTTCAGAAGCTTTCCTTTATCTCTGGTGTTTCGTCTTCACAGTGTTCTTTTTGTTTTATGGTTTGGAAAATCTTCACCACATCAAAATAATTATAAATATAATTTCTCTTGCATCAAACAAGATAACATACCTTCTTAGTTTGGTAGTTTGGTAATTATTAATTATACCAATACATTTAACTAGTTGTTTTGTGTTAATTAGGTTTCAGTGTATAGGTCAATATCCCAGAATCCTTATGAAAACTTGGCCTTTGAAGACTGGTATGTACAATTTAGAAATATTTTTAGTTTATATATAAATAATTATTCGACACGCTTGTGGAAAACATGGCAAGGGAGTAATCGGGAGAATGAAATGTCAAATTGGTAGAGCATGCTGTATAGAGGCTGATTTGAAATTACAAGTATGTTCAACCTTGAATCTATGAACCTACTAAACTCTTGCACTGTCTGCTTAAAGCCAAGTTTGTTGTATGGTTGGTTCTCTTGCGAGGTTTTCTTTATTATGAGTGGTTAGTATTGACTTAAAATAGTGAAATCCAAAGGGTTCCAATAGCTGTGGTTCTTCCAAATTACAAGTACTTGTAGTTATACAAATCAAATTGTTTGAAACATAAATCATATTCAAACTTGTAGAGTTACAGGTGAAGTTTTTCTTTTCTTCTCTTGAACATCATAGGTTATATCTTAATACTGACCTAACAAATAGGAGAATTCTCTTTTTGTGGAGAAATGAACCCACGGTAAGCTGATTATGTCACTATGAAATCCAATTAAGTGAAACATGTTTAACTAAAAATAATCCAGTGAATGGCACTTAATGTCACATATCCAGGAATTTCAATGACTTTATTGAGGAGCAGCTGCCAATAGATGCAATAGGCAGCTGAGCCATAAGCCAAAATCCAAACAAGAGAGCCTGATTGCAGGCTAAACAGATGGTAGTGAGAAGTCCTATAGGTGGCGCTTGACTGCCCATAACTGACTTTTATTGGAACCCCTGTATATCAAAACAACAAGCTAAAGGACAAATGAATAAAGGGATTAAGTTTCTAAAGAAACTGTGGTGCTGTGTTGGTGGGGGAATATAACAAAATAATTCAGTTGATCAATGGAGTTGATAAATGTAAATTGGCTGCCATAAAAAGTTTCAAAGCTGACACTTTGAGCATTAGCCTCTTGTCATTTGCTCTGATGAAAGGCTAACGATTAAGAAATCACCTTTGAAACTCTTTATGGTGGCCAGTTTACAAATATCAACTCAGTTAATAAAACCAAACTATCTTGACACACTTAAAGATTGTGTTACAGTAGCAACATGGTGCCACAGTCAGATCCACTATCCCAGGAAATTGTTCATCTTTTGATGGATCAATGTCCACCATCTCTATGTTCATCTCAGGAGCATAACTCTGACAGAACATCTGAGCAACTTCTTTTGTGACAGACTCAAAGTGTATTGAGGGATCTTTATTGGATAAGTTCATGATGTCTGATTTGACACTTTGGGTTGCTTTACTAGAGATGATTAATCTTAATTGTTTATTAGTGTCTGTCACACTGTCACATTTAGTAACCTTCAGAATTCAACAAGGTGATGTTGGAACTACATCTTTGAATATCTTCAGTGATGTTTACATAGCATCAGATTTCTTTGTCAATTTGGGTGTTAAGAAAAGAAAAGAAAAAACAACAGGCATTGACTTGAAAAAAGGCAACAGATATCAACTGAGTTTTAAATGTTTAATTTTTATTGAGGGTGTTAAGACAAGCTGCAGTTGTCTAAATGTGCCAGCTTTTTTATTTTTAATATACTTGTACACTGCACACTTTTATCTTAATAATTTATGATACAGACACATTTGATGTAGCTTATGTTTTTTAACTCTTTAACTCTCAGATCAAATTTGCAATTCTCCTTACTGTTAACCATACAATTCTTATAATGTTAGTTCAGAGAATTTAGTATTGGATCAAATATCCCCAAATTGATATTTTTCTTTGTTCTCATCACTTTTCTGGTTGAAATTGTATTGATATTGTAAGGAGAGATTCTGTCTTGGTCACTCATGGGAGTTGAAGGGTTAAAATATGTGACCAACGATTATCAAATGAATGAAAAACAAATAAAATATAATTGTGAACTTTATGTTTCAGATAGTTATTGGCAGACACCAGGTTTGAGAAATTATTTCTTACTTTCATAAACTCTCTCTAGCTAACTTTCAATTATGGTTGTCAACATAGCAGTATGTCAGAAGACTTTTCAAAACATTAAGTAGCAACTCAGCTCACCCTCTCTCCACCTTTTTGCCTAGCGTAAAGGAATCCTCTTGTTAATGGTGTGAACAATTTTCAAAAATATGTACTTAACATTTAAAAAATAGCTCTTTTGATAGATTGATTTTAGATATAAATTAGTAACATACAGTGGTCAATTTTCTTATAGTAAGTGGTTATTTTTTTGTATGATCCATCAAATATTTTTGCTTGCCTGTGATTGCTCTAAATATATCACGTGACTGAATATCCCCAGCTTAAACTGGGTGATATTTAAGATTATCACCCAAGGGATATTCTCCAACATTCAAACCTTATGTCCACTATGATAAGTCTATGTTTCAAATTTAATTCAAGATGAGAGAGGATTTTATGGTTACTACAGGAGAAGGAAAATCTTCATTTTGTTCATCATCAAATTGTGCCTGATAACACTCAAAAGAGAAACATTCCATGCTGAATACAGTAAGCTGTTTGTCAATATTTTTCACACACATTTCAAAATATCTGAAGGGTGATTAACACAGTAGCCTCTAGCTATTTTGCGTGGATGGTGGACATATATATGTGCATATCTTTGCGCTAAATAGAGGGTGTTTTGTTTATTTTAGTTAATTTCATCTCATAACTTTTGATATATATTTTTATTAAATGAATAATGGATGTTGATGAGACCTAATTTTTTTTTTGCCATCAGAATCCCTGGGCAGAATGTAGTTTAAAGAGTCTTCAGCAATTTAATGTCTATTTGGCAAGGAGGAAAAGTGGTGGTGGAACAGTTTACCACGTGAGTGATTCAGCTTGACTTTCTCCCCTCTCTCTTTCAATAAAGTAAGGTTTGGAATAAATAATTAGTAATTATCCGCCAAAGTGGAGGTGAATAGTAGTGGATATTTATGGAGCTGCAAAGTAGTGAGGTGAATATGCACCACTTTCTCTGATTCTTGAGGTAAATAACTGCTTTAGTATTTACCACATAGACACAAAAAAATTAGTTTATTTCTGGACAATACACCATAAAATTATTGGAAATTAAACTCATAATGCAGTAATTAGTCTCACAGGTTGCCTGTAGGTGAATGGTACTTGCTAATCACTTCCGATCTAGCCAATCAGCAAGTGCAAAAAGTACTATTCATGTGTGCGGTATATACTAATTAACATTCATGTAATGCTCTTTGTATATATTTATTTATAATAAAGATTGTTCAAAATCTATTTTCACCCATTCTGCTACTTTTTTGAGCCCCCAAAAAACCCACATATAAACATTGATCCATCCATTTACTCCAAGTGAAAACTTTGAAGTTGTCTTTGTTAAACATCAGTTTTTTTGTAATTTAAAGCCAGTTTTGTGTGACAGGTGATGCCAAATATCAGGTGATTCTGAAAGATGTACTTTCTCCTTCACTGAAGCCATCACCATAACGATAATTGTCATAGACTAAAATTTTTATGTTAATGCTTTAGGGAATGCCTTTTAAAAGATGCTGTCTGGCAAAGTTCATAGAGTTTTCTGCAACAAAGCACTGATGTTTATAACATTTTTAAATGTTTGGTCTTTTTTACTTACATATGGTTCAAATTTTGATTGATTATTTTTTAGGATTTAGGAAATGTCAATTTCTCTTTCTTTACTGCTCGTGAACACTATGATCGCAAAGAAAACTTAGCTCTTATTGTGAAAGTATTACGTGAAAGGTGGAAACTAGATGTTGAAGCTTCTCCTAGAGATGACATACTTATTGATGGAAAATTTAAAATATCCTTTTTATTTTATGGTCTGAAATACATCAGGTTCTATTTTCATGACTGGATTGACTATAATGGGGTTGTATTTTCAATAGACTAAGGGAAACAAGAATGGGGTTACACATTTTCAGGATCTGGAGATTAAGAAAAATATGGAAGAAGGAATTTAAAAATGGGAAGATTTGCAATTAAAAAGTTGTTACTATATTAGCAAAAGTGAATAAGATGGGGTCTCTAATTGGTCAAGGAATAGAATATGATGTGAAGGGGGGGAGGGGGGGGAGGGGGGGGAGGGAAAGAAATTCTGAGAGACCAGCAGCAGATACCCAGCAAAAATTGACCCAAATATCCCCTTATTGCCCTTTTGACCCCTTCCCAGGAATGCATTGAATTATATGTACGGGAGTGGTCTGACAGAAGCAATGTGTTTCCTCTCATGTTACCATTAAGTCCTTGACAGAGTATTCACATCTCAGGTACATCATCTAAGCTTGGGAGAAATATTGCTTTTCACCACTGTACTTTGCTTCTGGATGTTGATGAAATCTTACTCAAATCTCTACTTCATCCCAGTTATGTAAGTTTCTTTTAACCTTTTACTCTCCAACATCAATATGCATATTCTCCATTCTGTTCTCTATGAATCTCATATGGTGCTGACAAGGAGAATTTAACAATCAACAGATGATTTTGTTGGTGATCATTTCCTTCATTCTCGTGACCTTAATGTGTGATTCAGGGGTGACATTGTAAAGAGATATTAGATGCTAGTCAGTCTTAGATAAATTATTTTTAATTAGGAGTGGAATGTTCACCACCAGCGAGTTTGAAAGTTGAAGGCAGTTAAGAAATGGTAGGCTGCCAGGTTGTTGTGAATGCCACCTTGCTTTGTCAGATTACACACAGGACTGGAAACTATTCTAACTGATAAAATGTCCCAGGCTTTCTGTGCAGGGAATTAATTGAAATTGTTTGTTCAAACCTGCTATCAGTAAATTATGTATTATTTCCACTCAAAACTGGGAAATAGCCACTGTACAAATGTCTGTGATGTTATCTCAATAATTGAAGCCTTTACTCCACACTCATGGTAAAATGAAGTGAAAGTGACTGGCTAAAAAGTCAGACCAGCAGTTTTAGCCATTTACCAACTCTTGCTGACAGCTCTAGATCTGCCAAGGCCTGAATCTATTTACTGAGGTGGAACTGTTTTGGTTAGCACCACATATGTCAGTGATTTGATTGTAATCTTAATTGTTTATTTTATATTTACTTGTGTTTTTTTTGTAGACAGATATCTCTAGTAAAGCAACCCAAAGTGTCAAATCAGACATCATGAACTTATCCAATAAAGATCCCTCAATACACTTTGAGTCTGTCACAAAAGAAGTTGCTCAGATGTTCTGTCAGAGTTATGCTCCTGAGATGAACATAGAGATGGTGGACATTGATCCATCAAAAGATGAACAATTTCCTGGGATAGTGGATTTGAGGAAAGAGCTTGAAGTATGTTACAGAGTTTCAAAAGTTAACTCGCTTTCATGAGCAACCAATAAGTGGTTTGAAGGACAAATAAGTTTCTTCAAGGTCAGGGAATTTAAATTTGAGTTAGGGAAAATTTGCCAGAGACACCTCTATCTGGAAGACATGTTTTTTTTCTTGGGACAAAAGCTGGTCCAGACTGACAAAATTCCTCCTAACACCTCTGTTTACATCAGAAATACATTCTTTTTTTGAAAGAATGTATTTTCTTCCATCTTTGAAGGAAGTCTAGGAAAAGTGAAATTTCATGTAAATGTGAAGTGGTTCATCTTGTCTTGGCCGTCTCAATGATGAGGGATGGTGACAGTTTTTTTTTTGCAAGCAAAGGGGATAAATATTATTAGAACAGATGCTTGTGCCCTTCAGGTACTTACTTCTTTCCCAGTTTTTCAACAGTTTTTCAACAGTTTTTTTCAACAGTTGGCTTGCTTAAATGTCTCTGGAGAACAAGAATGAACTTATACAGTTATTTGGACTGGGAATTTAATCTGGGGCCAAACAGTGGAATGCAAACAGTTGTTCCATTGGCTAGAAAGAGCGCTGTGAACCTGTATATACTGAGATTATGGGGAGGTGTTATTGATTCCAGTCTTTACTTTTTAAATACAATTCACTCTTTCCTATTTCATTATTTTTAATTAGGAGTGGAACTGGATTTATGGAAAAACTCCAAGATTCAGTGTAACTTTTTCAACAACTTTATCAGCCAGACACATGGTGAGTGTGGCCTTCATTTCGAAAGTACATTTGTAAGAATGTACATAAGTTGGTAAAGGCAATTATGGAAACTGCATTCATCATTATATGATCTTACCTCCCCAATCAGCTTATTAGTACTAATGAAATAGACCAGACCACAATATAAGAGTCTTCATTTCTTATTCTTTTCCTCAGTAATGTTCCTCATGAATAACTGGTAATTTGGGGGTGAGAGAGGATGTGAAGGTTCAGGAGAAAAGAGGAACAGTTTCAGTACTTTGATTAAAATTTCTGCTTACAGCAACAGTATTTAGTACATGATTAGAATAGATAAACCAGTCTGCTGGAGAGTGTTTTGCTGTTGAAATATGTTAAATTCTCTTAACTAATTTACAAGGAAATTTAAGGCAGTTAGAGGGGAGAATTACCAAATAAATCAGATCTTGGGTGTAAGAGTGAAACTTACTGCAGTGATTTTACCTAGTAATGATTTGACAATCTGAACTAACAAGAATTCTCCCTCACTTTTGCTAAGTCCACTTGAGATTACACTTGCAAGCTTGGTTTTAATGTGTAAATTTGCTTGCAGTGGGAGGATGTTTTGTAGAGACAGGAACAATTTATTCCCCTTTTCAATGTGACAAGGGTGAGCAATTGTCGTCATGGTTGTTCAAGTGGGACTTGAGCCTGGCCACAATCTTTGGCGCTGTTGGCTGATCGGCCTTTTAATATGTAATTTTACTCCTTGGCTGGTGTTATTTTAACTTTTTCTTTGGTCAATTAGAAAAGATAATCATATGAATTTGTTGCAGTTGGCAGAAATCACTTCTTACCATGGTTTAGTTGAAGATGTTAATGTCCAGTGTGAAGACAAGGAAATGTGTACACTCCTTACAAAGCTTGTCCAGGGGTTGAAAGGTGAGGAACAAAGTGTCAGCAAGGTTTAAGAACACTGACCTCACAGTCTTGTTCTTTGCATGTAACTAACCACCTTTAGTTAGGCATTTTAATTTAATTACTATTAAATACATATTTTCAAATTGAATTAGCATATTTTTGAGAGGCAAACACAAAGTAAATTTCTTTGTAAAGGTTTCAGCCACTGTTTGAATTTTTGAAGCGGAGGAAGGTTGGAGAGGGATGAAAATAGCTACCAAAGGGGTGATGGATGGGGAAAGAAGAGGAGAGGGAGGAGAAAGGGGGAGAAAATTACTTTTCTCTCATTTCCTTACCTATGACAGGTTGTTAATAGTCACTAGGACCCAGTTGTTCAAAGGCCAATTAGCACTAACCCAGGGTTAAAATTTTAATCCAGGTTTCTATATTTCTCTGTTCAAAAGCCGTTTAGGGATAATTTTCCCAATTCTTTTTAAAACATTCAATCATAACATTGTAGACAAATGAAATTAGACTGAATTTTCTTTTTAAGCTTTCAGATCTGAAATCAAATTTCACTTTAAACCTGGGTTATCTTAACCCACCTTTGAACAACCCAGCCCAGCTAAATAAGATGCAGGCTAAAATTGAATTATTTGTTTCATCAATGTTTAATGTGAGGCCTTTTTCCAAACCAATGTTAAATTTACCCACATAGTTTTTTTAATAATGCTATTTCATTAGTAAACATTTTTCTCAAGTAACTAATTTTAAATAACTTTCCAATGTTGCAATTTTTTTTTTAGGTGCAAAATTTAAAGCTGATGACATTCACACAGCCCTACTGACATATTTGAACTCAGAATCACTCACAGCTCTAGATAGGCAGCTTTGTTATGGGTTTATAAAATGGATTGTCAGTGTTATATGAATCTAAAAATTGATTCAAGTAAGTTTTTTTAATCATAATGTACAACATGATAACTTCAGTTTTCTGAGTAGCAATGATTTCTACTGCAATGTTTATCTAACCATATAACCAGCCTTCTGTCAATGTATTATTTAAATTTTTTTTGAATAAGGGGGGACGAATGAAATGCTCCCTAATGAAAAAAGAGGATTATAATAATGCAATCAACATTTCATTGACCTATTGTCTTTCTTTTCAAATCTATCTAGAGAAGAAGGCAGGGGTTTGTTTACAGGGAGAAGTGTGCATAACTTTAAATGCATAGGATGATAATACATTGTGACATGCAGAGAATATTTACCATAGCATTTATAATTTTAGTTTAGATTTCATTTTGGTGATGAAATCATTCTTTAAAATTAAGCAAGTTAACTTTCCACACCTTCTCTTTTTGAGGATGGTAAATTATTTAGGCTAATATATGACATGCAGCAACCTGGCAACATTTAACATACACCAACTTGAAAATAATGATGTGGAATCATAAGAATGTTGAGCACTGTCATTATCACTGATTTTCATCTGTGAAATTTTTATTGAAATCCCCCAAGTTTAAGGTGATCACTGTTGTCATTAAGATTGAAACACTAATATTAAAAATTCTGTCAGTAGTAACTTGTAAGTCAGGTAATTTTCTCCTTCCAACAGCTGACATGTGAAGACAAATAAGGTTAACTAAATGTTCACCTTCTTTGTTTTCACATCTCAGCTGTAGATATACCTTAACCCTTTAACTCTCATGCGTGACCAAGACAGAATTTCTCCTTACAATATCAAGCAGACAAATAATGACAATAAAGAAAAATATCAATTATCTCCTTACAATATCAAGCAGACAAATAATGACAATAAAGAAAAATATCAATTAGGGGATTATTGGTTGATCCAATATAAAATTCTCCAAACCAACATAACAAGAACTGTATGGCAGACAGTAAGGAGAATTACTAATGAGATCTTGGGAGTTAAAGGGTTAAGTATGACAAGATAATCTGGTTTCATCAACTGATTTGATGATGTAAATTGGCCACCATAAAGAGTTTCTAATAAAAGCTATCAATAGTAGCCAATTTACAATTTATAGACTCAATTGATAAAGCCAAATTATCTTGTCCCAGCACCACAGTTTTTTTCATTAGAATCATATATTGGCAAAGTCTCCTGAAGTTGTAATTTTATTGTCTTCATTTTAAAACTGACTTTAACAAAGCAATGAGTTTGTTAGTTTTCCTATTAAAATTTTCCTGGCTACAGTTCATCAACCATTTCTAGCCTTCACATTGAACAAGACATGTATGAAAAATAACTTTTTAAAAATATTTAAATCCAAATGGTATGTTCACATTTCTAAATTTCTGCCAAGTTCCTTTCCAAGCAACCCATTAATAAAATTAAAATACTCTCAACTTGTGAACAACCATACAAAGCATTTACAAAATTCTATAACTTCCGAGGTAAATTTACACAGTGGGAAAAAAAGTCAACTTGAAATAATTTATTGCTAATAGTGGCAGCTAAAAGTGACATTTAAAAAAAGAAGAACTAGCCTGAAATCACAGAGTGACATTATTTTGGTTGTTGCTTTAAATTACAGCTGCATTTGTAAAACCAAGGTTATATACATACATCCAAATTATAGTCAAGAATGATCATCGTTATTGCTGATAAGTACTATATTGTTGTGCTGAATTAATTTTACTGCCATCTTGGTCTGTCTGTGAAAGATCTTGAATTCCCTTTTTTTGGCCTGAAGGGTGAAATCAATGGATAATCATAAACATGTTAGGGCTAAAAACTTGCAACTACAGCTTATACAATTTAGTTTGAATATTTGATGAATTGTTTTAAACTGAGCTGCAAATGTTATAATTATCAAGTAGATAATTTTCAAGTAATATATCTTTGTCTTTATTGTGTTTCGTGTTGCTTCACACAGTAAGCTAAATAAATACTGTAAGAGTTTCAAAGCTTTGGATACATGTTGTGACAGCTGTTTGGAGTTCCTACCTACTAAACTTTGAAACCTTTCCATGAAAGGCTCAGTTTAATGGGCCCATACATTTTGAAGTTCATGTATTAGTGTCATCTCAAAACAATCAGATTAGTCGCAGAATTGTAGTCAATTGCATGCTCACTCAACATGCATTTTTTTCAATTTTCTGTCACATAAAAGAGATGCCACATAATTTATACTCCTGGCACAGGTTGTTTCAAGGGTGGATAATGCTGTCCACTGGATAAATCCCTATTTAGTGTACAGGGCAATACATTCTGGTTAACACTTAACCACTGGATAGCGATTTATCTGCCCTTTTCAACAACTGGGCCTAATGGTTAATGACAAGGAGAGGTGAATGTGATAGTAATGCTTCTTTTCCAAAAACCAAACAGGATAATTTATGGTCAGCCTGGAATATGCATGGAAAGAATACCAGGTTTTATTGTGTCACACACCTGTTTCAACATGCCCTCTAACATTTTAATCAAATCTTTGTTTTTGGTAAGTTCTGGTAAATGGCTCTAGAAAAATAGTTGCAAAACAAAATTATGAATTAAGGGACTTGTCAGAAATTAGCAGGGGGGGAGGGGGGGTGGAAACAAAGGGGGGGGGGGTCACAATTTTTTGAGCCTCAGAAAAGGGAGGGGTCATGAAAAATGGGCAGTTAAAAGGGGGAGGGTCATGCAAATATATGCCCGTGATCATGTAGAGGTTCACCCACAGAAGAAAAAGGAAGTTCTTTATTTGGAAGAGGTGGATGATCATGATGAATGTGAGGTAGATGAAGGGGATGAGGCATTACCCACTTGTTCTAGTGATGAAGACTTTGTATTGGGAGAAATAGGAGAGTCGAGTGATCAGTCGGACTCTTAATGCTGTCATCGAAAATGTATGTATGTAGCATGACAAAGAACAGATTAGAAATATATTTTGAGTTTTCATAATACTGACACACCCTAGTGTATTGCAAGAACTAGATTTTATCATTTATACAAGAGGGGGAGGGTCATGATATTTTAGGCCAAGCTCAAGGGGAGGGTTAGCAAATTTCACTCCCATTGCAGGGATGGGTCACCTAATTTCCGAACCCAAATTTAAAATTCCCACCCCCCCCCCCCCCCCTGCTAATTTCTGACAAGTCCCTAACCCAGTCTTTAACTCCCAAGATCTGACTATTAATTCTCCCCTCCAGCTGCTACACATTCCCTTGTAGATTAGTAATGAGAATTTGGTGTAAAATATCATTAAAACAAATTCTACCAGATAAGTTTGAACATTCTCATAACGTGTTTGCTGAAAAATGTACAGATATTTCAGGGAGAAGTTGTATGTTGATCACTTTTGGGAGTTAAAGGGTTAACTAATCTTAAACTAACAACTCCGAAGTCTTGCTGAAGAAGCAAGATGTTTGACCTGTAATTTTTTTTATAGCACCTTTATCAATGAACTAGTGATTGTTCACCAATACGAATTTGTTTTAAGCAAAGACACCTTTTTGGAGCTTTCCATTTTTTTGTAAACTGCTGTGAGGCGAAAAGTTTATGAATAGAACTTCTTTGCCATTCAAAGTATTCCAAATGAATTGGTTAGTGAAACAAAATATTTCAAAGTGATTTGGGGCTTTTAAAAAATGGAAAGCCTTATAGTCCCTGAAATACTTGTCATGAGCTACATAGACTGTACCAGTCCTATGAATCACTTACGATGTATGTGGTGCAAAGTTTCTGCTTGTTCCAATTGAGGTGCTGCTCATTGCCCTTCTCAGTCCATTGAAGTGTTTCTTGACTTTCTTAGAATGTAACTTGTCCAGCTTCAAAGCACTAGATGATCTTGATGGTCCTCTGAGTGCTTGGACATTCTCTTTTGTGGAACTGAAAACTCTGAAAAAAGTGTTTTTCAATAGTTGGGACTAATAGTGAACCTTTTGACTCCCTTGGGGTGACTAGCATCTAATTTCTCCTTACAATACCACCACTGAATCCCTCATTAAGGTTAAGGGAATAAAGGAAGTGATCACATACTAAAGAAGCTCTTGATTGTCAAAGAACTTCTCCTTGTCAGCACCTTAGGAAATGTATAGAGTGCAGTATTGAAAATGTACATACTGATGTTAAGGTGTTAATAGAGAAGACAGGGGTTATCCTGCAGTCACTGTTCTTGCAACCCTCTCAGTTGTACACTTTGAAAATGAATATGAATACTTGTTTGCATATGCTAATGAAGAATAGTGAAATCAAGAGATGTTGGATATAAGGGATCCCAATTTTTCCTCCACTCTGGAGTTGAGTATTTTAACCACAAGAAATTTGCTTTCAATGGCAAAATTCATAATATTGTTGGAAGGACCATACTGGTACAAAGCATGGTGTTTTTTAACTGACCTCTTTGGCAGCATGTCTTTCACTTCCTGGCCGCTGTGTGATTTTTCTGTGTAGGAAATTAGATACCACTGAGACTCATTTCTCGAAGGTTTATGTAACTTATTAGGCCAGAAAAGCTATTCTGTTTTCATCCAAGACAAGAGTTTGAAAAGTTTTGAAAATTATACAATAAAACTTTCAGCTAAATAAACAAAATGGACTTCCCAGGGAGCCACAACCTGCTTCTCTATTCTTCAAATTCTGATTCTAAAATATAGCTTTGGGTCCATTAATTTACTGCAGCTTTTGAGAAACAGGCTCCTGGTATGTAGGACTCAGTGCCTGTGACAGATTCAGTGGTAGCTCTAAAATACAGCCTTGATAAACCTTTACCTTTTTTCAAAAGATCACTTTGACTCAGCACAGATGGCAACTGATCTTTAAGATTGTTTACTGTATTTATTGACAGTTCTTTGAGAGGTGTTGTATTGCTTCTTGATGGAAGTGGTGTAATCTGTAAGAAAACAATAATGACATAAAGAAAATTTTGAATTAAAGAGCATTGTCTCTGTAAGACAACTCTCAAGTCTCAGTTCTCCTCTAAACCAAGAAAGTAAGAAAGTTATTGTGGCCAGGAAAAGGAAGTAAATACATTTTATACAGTAAATGGTTTGAACCTGGGGGTAACATGTAATAGTGTAGTTTAATCATCTGGGTGAGTGTAGTCCTGAGAAGGACTGTTGTCGGTAGTGGTGACTGACATTTTGACAACCTGAGCGGAAGTCATCATCAGAGTCAAGTGACTCTGATGACTCTTGACTCTGATGATGACTTCCGCTCATAAGTCAATGTCATAACAGAAAATTAAGAGCAGAAACCAAAACAAAATGAAAATGTGTGGATCACAACTCAAGGGCAGCATCTTTTTCAGAGGTTCACAACATGACTGATCACAGTACATACAGGTTATTTTTATATCTGTAATTTGCATGGCATTTTAAAAGTGCAGTAAATATTAATACTGCTAATTACCTTTCTTACATCCTTTTGTTGATTTTTATCTGCTGGAGTTTCATCTAGAGCTTGTATTCCTGACAGATTTAAGTCTCTAGAGACTCTTACAGGTGTGCTATTACCTAAGTTGTTATGTGCAGTATTAGATGTTGGTGAGGAGGACTTTGTTTCAACAGGACTTTCACTCCAACAAACTTTGGGATGGGGAGTTGCCTTTCTTGGGGCAGATGTTGATTGCTCATTTACATTGTTCTTGGTGTAAAACATTGCTGGTGACTTTAAACAGTTGTTACTGTTTAAAGGTAGGAATGGTGAAGCTGATGGAACTCGTGAAGGTGTTGCCAGTTTTTGATCCTTTGGAATGCTACTGGTTACACCTGGTGTAGCCATCTTGGGTCTC